TTCATGTTCTTGATGGTTCTAACTCCATTCAATCGAAAATACTTGGAAGGATGTCGTGGATCGGATATGTCAAAATCTACCTTTTTTGAGTTGTCTTCTTGATGCGTTATACCGTTTGTCCATTGGTAGCATAGGGATTCTGTTTCACCAACTAATTCCAATTTTTCAGCAAGATCAGCATCTATCAAGGATACTGTCGATCCATCGTCATAAAAGACATATATGAACATTTTCTTTTCGTGGTATTTTATTTCAACTGGCAGGATCTTCAGTAATACATTATAGTTATCATTTTTCGTCAAATTTACATGTTCTGTTCGAATTTCTTCAGGGTTTTCATATCCGTGAGGTGAATTCTTGCTCTTGTGGAGTAGAGGATGATGTAATCCGCTGCAATTATCTATTCCACAGCAAGTTTTCTTGAAACACTGATGCTTGAAGTGATTTGATCTGAGACAGCACATACATAACTTTTTATCTGTTACAATTTTCCATCTGTCATCTTCTGCCAGTTCTTTGAATTTTTCACAATCGTATAGCTGATGATTTTGTGTACATTTCGGGCAGTATTTCTTGACAATCTCCGTCTTTGGTCTGGATATCGATAAAACGGTGTCTCTGCGTGTATACGCTGAGGGACCTCTTCCTGAATTCTCCGCCCTCACCAACGGACTATCAATATAGCAGGAAATCTTGGCTTTTTCTCTCAACCATTCAGAAAATGTTTTCAGATTGATGTCCTTTGGATTCTTTATGAGACGCTCTCCCCAGTCGAGCCGAAGGAAGTAAGGCAGCTTTCTCGATAATTCATCTAACAACTGCATGCTATTCATGTGAGACTCTGTATCGAGTACCTCTATAGTGGATGTTAAGTTCAGAACTGCATTCGAAAAATGAATTAGTGAATCTGTTCTTCCTTTTCCAGGTGATGCCACTTTCTTCGCCTTCTCTATCAACATGGAGATTATTATGTCAGGTCTTCCAAAATTCATTTCTAAAGATTCCATAATGACGTCCAAATTTCTAGAACTGATCAGCAGTGGTTTGACTATTTCTCTTGCACGACCACGAAGGCATTTCTGGAGTCTTATTAGATTTTCCTCTTCTGAAAATTGACAGGATTTTGTTGATCTTCTGAATTGTGATATAAATAGAGGCCATTCCTCCGGATCCCCATTGAACAAAGGTAGTTCTCTGATCGACTGTCGAGTAAAAAAGGTTTCTAGCTGTCTATTGACACCCTTTTCTGCAAATTTTTCACGATCTTTATCCGAATTATCGGGTATCATATATTCAGTGTGGTCGAATTTCAACTTATTTTCGTCAGATTTGGTACTTTTTTGTTCTGAAGAGTCTCGTTCATGTTCAATTTGATTGGTTTCTGGGATTCTTAACGAATTCTTCACTTTCTGAATACCGTCTATAGGGCTCAAGTTTCGTTTAGCTGAAATCAGTTATGAAAAAACTGTTGCCGTGGCAACGATCGTCATGGTAACGAGTAAACAAAAACCCGATTCCCGTGGTGAGGAAATGCGTGGTTGCCAAGTTGTATCGGGTTTAGTATAGCTGAAATCAGTTGTGGAAAAACTGTTGCCATGGCAACGATCTCCATGATAACGAGTAAACAAAAACCCAATTCCCGTGGTGAGGAAATGCGTGGTTGCCAAATTGTATCGGGTTTAGTATAGCTGGAATCGGTTATGGAAAAACTGTTGCCATGGCAACAATTGTCATGGTAATGAGTAAACGAAAACCCGATTCCCGTGGTGAGGAAATGCGTGGTTGCCAAGTTGTATAGGGTTTAGTTTGGCTGAAATCAGTTATGGAAAAACTATTGCCATGAAAACGATGCCAAGTTGTATCGGAAAATTATTGCTTCATTCATTAATTTCAAAAACACTCTTCAATGTAACCATCCTTCGCGTGCCGAGCTATTTGACAAAATCAAAAAGAAACAGAGCCATTTTGGAATATTCATTACGAGGTATCGCGCAGGATAAAGGAAGAGAGACTACAGGTACTGATTTTCTAATACAGATGGAAACATCTCGTTAGGCCCACCCACATTTCCATTTGCCTTTATTTCGATTCACCCATACCTTTCTTCACGCGCACATTTTGATTCAGCAACAGTCTTCAAACATACACGATCGATGCCTTGCAACCAAATCTGAAGGATGTTGGAAAATATATGTTTTTCGAGAAGAAGGTTGATTTAGGTCGAGTTAGGTCGGATTGTTTGGAAATAGAAGTGTCATTTTTTATGCAGTCTTCAAACACACACGAACGATGCCTTGCTACCGAATCTGATCGATGTTGAAAAATATATTTTTTCTAAGAAGGTTCATTTGAGCCGAGTTAGGTTAGATTGTTTAGAAAAAGTAGTATCCTTCTTTATGCGCTATTTATTCCGCAATATTTTGTCGCTCGCTATTTTGTCTAGCTCTGTTCAATAACAAAGCCTATTTTTTCCTGACGTTATTCCCATATATGATCGTCATAGAAGTAGTAATTTGGGAATTAATCAACGACGAACAGTCTTCAAGAAATTGATAAGAAGGGTATTCATTCGAATCAAGTTATTTGTTGAATACTAGCAAGAAATTTGAGGGTCGAAGATTGCGTTGATTTCAGCTATACTGAATTTGGCAACCACGCATTTCCCCACCACTGAAATCGGATTTTTGTTTACTCGTTACCATGACGATCGTTGCCATGGCAATAGTTTTTCCATAACTGATTTCAGCGAAACTAAACCCGATACAACTTGGCAACCACGCATTTCCTCACCACGGGAATCGGGTTTTTGTTTACTCCTCACCATGACGATCGTTGCCATGGCAACAGGTTTTCCATAACTGATTTCAGCTATACTAAACCCGATACAACTTGGCAACCATGCATTTCCTCACCACGAGGTTTTGTTTTCTGTTTACCTGTTACCATGACAACGGTTGCCATAGCAACAAATTTTCCATAACTGATTTCAGCTAAACGAAACTTGAACCGTCTATAGTACCTTCCTTGATATTCTCAGAGATACTAGATATTTTACTACCTGCGGTACTAAGTTGCACATTCAGCTCCATATCTATCAATTCTTTCTCTCGGAGATATCTACGTTCTTGTATTTTCAATTTTTCTTCTTCCATTTTTTCTTCTAGCGCAGCTTTTTTCCTAGCAGATTCCAAGCGTAGTTGTAAAATTTGTCTTTTAGATAAACTGGTGCACAATGATGAACTTTCTTTCCTGGAGCCTCCTATATTTTCAATGTGTGCTTCTGGAAATCCAACTATTTCCTCTGGTATCGGTAATTCTCTTCCAATTTCACCAGAAGGACTTCCTCCTTCACCACATATAATAATATCTGATTTTGCTTCCTTGTTTTTACCAGTTTCACTATTCTTATCATAGTGTACTTCCACTTGAATGATTGATTTTCCAGACATTTTCTGTATTCCTTAGGGCTTTTCTGACTTTCTCGAAGGACCAATATAAAATCTATATCTTTCTCTAAAGTAAATATCTCTATTTCAATCGTAGAATCTTTTTAATCTTTTGACTTTTTACAATCATAAATTCAATCATAATTCTGACACTGTCATCATTCTTCTTTTTAACAATATACAAAGCGTATAGAAACGACAAATATAACAAAAAATAGATAATCTTCCTCAACACGATGTATGGACCTTTATATTTCGGTTTGAGTTTGTTTAATTCTCCCGACACCGATTTGATACTCCGAACGAATACAACTTCCCCAATGTAAACTGTCACCCCTGAAAATCTTGTCTTGTCAAATGTGTCTTTATATTTTTGTTGTTGCTCGGTTATCCCACTTCTGAAGGCGGTAAATATATGAATTGCTAACAATAGTAGGTACTTACTTTCAAATCATAATGTACCAATCGGATTTCTTCGTCTCCCGCTGCATGTTTTTGTGCATTGTACAACAGCACAATGTGATGGCATGCACTATTTAATGAATAGCCGAAAAACACGATTCGTATGCCAGAATAATAATTGTGAAGAACTATTTCAATCACTTGTAAACAAATAAGAAAAGTGAGGTTGTGTTTCAATGTTTCGCCTCCAGGGTCGGTCATCTGACAGTTCTTGCACGAAACCCATAAGAGTACGGACACTATGACAGGCAGTGACAGAAGGCATAACCCTGAAAAATTTTAAATGACATGACCAATTTGGCGGGCACTGACAGTTCATGAACGTTCATGACATTAAATTATTTGGAAATTCAGTTTTTCGAAAATTAAGATGGCTAATTGTGTAACAGAAAACTTCAAAAATAGAAGAGAATCGTTTCATTCATTCCCTTCACTCCATGATAAACAACAGCTACAAAAATGGAAACATAATATAAAGCGGCCATTATGGAAATTGAATTCAGCTTGCAAAATTTGCGGAGTAAGTACCTAATATTTGAATTTTTTTATTGATTTCGATGCATATTCGAACTATTGAGTGCGCGTAATTTCAAAGTCAATGCAATCGATTTATATTATCGACGCGTTGCGACGCTCAGCTCTTAGTAGGTGTTGAATTTTTCAAACGTCGAAAAAAATTACAAGACTCCATCCATTGACTACTTTTTACAGGAATTAAATATTTCTATTTGTTTTCGAGATATTGGCGTGCGGAGTTACAAGTGAAAAACCCTGTATGGTATAACAAATTTTCATTTGTTTTTCCCATGAAGACGTGTTATTGTAACGTAAGATTTATAAATAAACCATTAAATAAAGAAGGATTGCAATACGAATCAAGCTTCGAACATATTGGTCCTTCGAGCCGGATCTATACAAATGAAACCATCAAGACTGTCAAGTTCTTCACAAATAGTGACTGACAAGCAGCTGGAGCTCTCACAGATAGCAACGAGCAGTCCAAGCCAACATATTGGTCCTTCGAGCCGGATCAATATGTTCGATGTTCGATAGAAAGTGGACTGTATTTGTATGCTAAACACCGGTACTTACTGTGGATCGACATTGGCGGTGGCTTCGTCCAACATGAGAATCTTGTTATTCCTTATAATAGCCCTGGCCAGACAAATGAGCTGCCTCTGCCCCACGCTGTAATTCGACCCTCTGTCCATCACTCTGTTCTCCAAGCGATTGATCACGTTGGCCGGGTCCTTGAGCTCGACCTCGTCGATCGCCCTGTACAGTTGCTCGTCGGTGAACTCCTCGAACGGATCGAGGTTGTATCGGAGGGTGCCCGAGAACAGGACAGGGTCCTGAGGGATGATGGTGATTTTGGATCGGAGGTCTCTGAGCTGGAGGTCCTTGGTGTTGAGGCCGTCGATCTCGATGAGGCCTTCGACGTTGGTCAGGCGGAAGATGGCGCCTATGAGGGAGGATTTTCCGGCACCTGTTCGGCCCACTATGCCCACCTGAAGGAGAAATTATCACTTGTATCAATCCATCAATCAATCAAAACTGAGCTTTATTGTCCAAGAAACATTATTCCTATTGACAAAGCGTTAACTAGCAAGTGGATAGATCCACTATGTCCAATTATTAATTCAAAGGTATAAAAGATATAAATATAAAATATAGTTGATAAAATAACACAAATACAAGGGTATAAAACAAATACAGAAAAGCCATAAAAGTATAACATTTATATCACATACAACGCCCACTAGATACCTAACATAATAATTAAAAATCAAGAAATAAATTATACAGGGTGTTTCAAAATTCAGTATCAAGATTTCAGGGGCGTATTTTTCAGGTCAAAATAAGACGTTTTTGTCCATAAACATGTGTCCGCAAACGCTTCGTTAGCGATCTACAGAGCGTTAAAGTTTCAAGATTTTTTTATTTTTTTCTTCATAGCTCTTTCAATTTTTGAGATATTAAGATCAAATTTGGAATGTGGGTTAAGTTCTAGGGCTTACATCATCCAGCATGCCGAGTGATTGTGAGAATCTACAGGGAGATATTTTTTTCAGGGGTCAAGCCCTTTTTTACCCCATAAATTTTTTTGTGGTGCGCCGCTGGTGAATTCTGAGATACGAAATGAATTCTTTGTTTTGTTTAAAAATTTTTTTGTCTCTTGTAATTTTCACGCATCTGCGATCGTTATCGAGAAAAAAGTAAAATCAATTTTTGTGATTCGCTACATTTAATTAAAATTTTCAACGGAACAATGAAAAAGCGAATTAGTGGGCTTTGACTGCTATTTTCATTTTGACGTTTAGGTTTGTTTTGAAGTATTTGACATTATTTGAAAGTTGGTGGATGTCTCATCGTGTATTTGTTTAACTTTAACGCTCTGTAGATCGGTAACGAAGCGTTTGCGGACACATGTTTATGGACAAAAACGTCTTATTTTGACCTGAAAAATACGCCCCTAAAATCTTGATACTGAATTTTGAAACACCCTGTATATTATATATGACTTCAAAACTTTTCCTTGTAATATTTCTGCAGGACATCGTATGCTTTTTGAATGAGGAATTTTTTGACCTCCTTTCTGAATTTTTTGATAAAACCAATTCCTTTGAATTGTTCTGGCAAGTGATTGTAGATTTTTTTGCTTTCATATACAGGGTGTTTCATGAGAAGACTCACATAGCCAAATGGTTAATAGGGGAAATCAAAACTAGTTGATGTATATATATGAAAACATTTTTTGACCCTCCATAACGAAGATACAGGGTATTATGTGAAATTGCTATATAACTTTGATGGTCGATATTACAGAAATGATTCGTTGTAATCTGCTGAAATTTGGCAGCGACGTACCTCTACTAAAACTATTCAAGATAACATATTATGAAAAAAATATCCAGGTCCGGACTTGGTAAAATTTTATATTTCATTGTTATGTCAAAAAAGTTCACTCTGTGACCACTTTTCTCGAAAAATTCCATCAGATTCAGAAAGATCAGACAAAACGCTATAAGATTTGCTCTCCAATTTACCGGTTCAACAAAAAAATATGGAACAAAAACGTTCGAATGAGTTTTCAATTTCGACCTGGCTGATAACTCTCAACTTTTAACTGGATTCGTGTAAATTGATTTTTTGTACATTTTTATTGTATAGAAATTGACAGAAGAGATTAGTACTGATTCTTTTATGATTTGACATGTTAGTTTTTGACCGAACTTCTAGATAGATATGATTACTCGTTACTCTATTTTATAAATGTATTATAATGTGGGCCCTGTTTTGCTTTTATGTAACATGACGGTTGTTGATAGGTGAACACTGGTAATCGAAATATTCTTACACTCTAGGTGCCACTTCATATTCCAAATGCTGAACAAGACGAAAATCCAAATGCTAGGTATATGCTATGTTTAATACCATAGAATATTCCCAGACCCAAGAATACGTTGCAGTAAAACCTTCACGATGATGAACATTAGGAATTTTGAATAAATAGCAAATGCATATCCTTATATAACTTGCTGAAGTGTATCAATAACAAAAAATGGAGCTAAAGTTTATGCGTGATGGCATAACTAATTTGATAAATCACCATAATATGGGCACATGAATCCTCATGTCTTAATTTCATCAGTTGGTACCTACCTAGTACTAACCTAGTACCTACCTATCAGTTCGGATTATCAACAAACGTCACGTCTCGTCACACAAATGAAAAACCGGACCTACTCGATATCTCACTTCAAGCGACACCAATTAAAACAAAGTCAGGAATGATAATATCTTTCTGGAATTTCGATAGAAAATATCGTTTTTTCTTCCCGTCTATCTTTCTGTCAATTACTATTCAACAAAAATGTAGAAAAAATCAATTCACATGATACCAGTTGAAAGTTGACAGTTATCAGCCTGGTCGAAATTTAAAATTCATTCGAACGATTTTGTTTCATATTTTTTATTGAACCGGTCAAAGTGTGCCGTGTAAATTGAAGAGCAGTTCTCATAGAATTTTGTCTGATCTTTCTGAATCTGATGGAATTTTTCGAGGAAAGTGGTCACGCAGTGAACTTTTTTGACATAACAATAAAACATAAAATTTCTCCAAGTGCGGACCTGGATATTTTTTTTCATAATATGTCATCTTGAATAGTTCCAGTAGTGATACGTCGCTGCCAAATTTCAGTAGATTACGACGAATCATTTCTGTACTATCGACGATCAATGTTATATAGCAATTTCACATAATACCCTGTATCTTCGTTATGGAGGGTCAGAAAAAGTTTCCATATATATACATCAACTCGTCTTGATTTCCCCTATCAACCATTCGGCTATGTGAGTCTTCTCATGAAACACCCTGTATAATCGAATTTTTTGTTCGAGAGGCAGATTTGTTGACTGATATAAAGTGGTCTACAATGGTCCCTCTTGCTTTAGCCTTACACAAATAGCGAATTGCCCTCTTCTGTAGAATGAAGACAGAATTCAACAAATTTTAGCTACAACAACCCCAGAAGGCTATGCTGCACCTGATATGAGACTCTATGAGAGAAAAATACGTGTTTCTGGCAATAGCAGCACCTAGCTCATTTGATACAACTCTAATGGCATAGCAACCTGATGCTAATCTTTTTTTTAGTGACGTAACATGCTCTTCAAACCCTAATTTCTGTCAATATGTATACCTAGGAATTTAGTAATTGTTCTGTTTTTAACTTGATGTGTACAAAATGTCAGATTTTCAAACTCAAATTTGAAGGTAATGATATTTGTTTTTTCCACATTGAAGCATAGAGAGTTTGAATCGCACCAAGATTTGACTTCGTCGAGTTCCTGAACTACAACTGTTTTTAGGTTTTCTAAATTTTTTTCATGCCAAAGGAGGGTAATATCTTCAGCAAATAGGGTGAATTTTCCCTTGATTAGTAAGCTTGTTGGATCATTTAGGTACAATAGAAATAGAACTAGGCCAAGCACTGATCCTTGAGGAACTCCTGATTTGGCATGTGAGAAGCCAGAAGTTTTACTTGAAATTTTAACAGTTTGTTTCCTCTCAAGAAGGTATGATTCAAACCATTTGAAAGCAACTCCTCTGAATCCATAATGATATAGTTTCCCTAGCAGTATTCTGTGATCAACACAATCGAAAGCTTTCGAAAAATCGCAGAATACTGCTGCAACTACCTCGCCTTCATTCAGACTGAGATATACATTCTCAAGGAATGAAAAAATGGCATAAATTGTGTTTTTTGAACTTTGAAATCCAAATCATCAGAGCTTCAACTATTAGCGGAAATTTTTTCGAGAACACGAATATTTTGACAATTTTCCCGAGTCGAAGATGACGACGTGTTCGAGAAAGAATTGGAGGTAGAGTGATATTCGGTAAGAAAATTCGCACCGAAAGGACCCCGCCAATTTTTAACGTAAATTGGGTCCCGGTGGATTTTTCTGAATTTTTGGTATGATGTAGTTCATGTGGTTCTATAAAATATTTTCACTGAGCCAACCCCCAAAATGGACAGTTATTCTGCCAGGGGGGTTTGAATTCACATTTTGATCGAATTGACCATTTATTTCTGAGAAAATGAACGATATTCCAAAACTTTTTATTTCATTCAATTACTTCTAAAAATAGATTCTCCATAAAAAAATATAATGAGGGGAATTATTACCCCCAACCCCTATTGTGAAAACAGAAAAAAAATCCATCTAACTGTCAAAAGTGATAGGAAATGCTTCATCACAGAAGATTATGGAAACCGCATTTTTGCATAATTAACCACTACCCAATGGGGGGTGCAAATAAAACAAAAATTCGGCTTCGCTAAACGCTTCGCCTCGCAAATGCAAAATTCGCTTGTCAAACGAAGTGTCACTTCTGATTCTAATAAAACAATCTACTATTATTCTTGATGACCTCCAGTACATCCTTTTTAGCTCCTAGGAACTAAATGTGTTGCCTAGCAACATACCTATGTTCGTGTCAGTAATATAAATGTCAATTCAAGAGGTAATTTTGGTAGCAAAATGGACGACTTTTGTGTCGGTCGCAGAAAAATACTGTAATGATATTCCCCTTGGAGGGGCTTTAGAAACATCAGCAGGAAGGCAGGAGTACAACGATCATCCTGTATCACGCATCCCAGATTGCTCTCCTACCTCCCAATGATTCCTACATGCACTAGCATATTTCCGAACACTCAATATATGCCTCGGTGACAGATAACGTCACAGAAGATTCTGGAATGTTCTGGAAACAATCGATGGAACAATTAGAGAGAGAGGTTTGTTCTAAGAAGCTTCTAGAACAAAAAGAAGGAGACGGAAGATCATTCGAGAAGGTTCTCGAACCTACTCGAACCAAGCCTGTCAAGTGATCTCATATATAAACAGCCGAATAACTGCCGTCAGGCAGTCAAACAGAGAGTGTCAGAGAGACAGTTATATACCGCGTGTTATAAATCGTTTCACATAAATAGTAGTTATGAGTTCGTTATAAATTAGTGTTTCTATAGTTCAAATAAATCAGTTCGAAAATAAATAGTGTCGTGTTCGCTTCTGCACCCGAATAACGTAACAATACCTTTTCGTTCTCCCTGATCTTGAACGACAAATTCTTGAGCACCCGAGGTCCGCCCTCGAAATAGCTCATCGACATGTCGCCGAAGGTGATCTGCCCCTGGTGCGGCCAGCCCTTCGGAGGCTGGGCAGGCACAATGGGCTGCGGTTCAGGGGGCAGCTCCTTGTACTCGACTATCCGCTCGACGGACATCAGCTGATTGGCTATGTTGGCGGTCATACGCATGGCGAATTGCACCATGCCGCTGAGCTGGTTCGCCTGGGACATGGCTAGGCCGACGCTACCGGCCGTTATACCCAATTCTGGAAGGAATCACTAGTATTTAACACCACCGGTTTACCCTCAGATTGAATAATAGTAGATAGACACCGCGATTCATTCATAAATCGTTGAAAAGATACGCAAACAATCCCAAACGGCAAACACTTGTGAATGAATGGAATCGCGAATGGTGAGGATAAGCGTGCCGACACTTCCATTCGCTGCAACTGCTTGTTGCTACCTTTGGTTTGAATAGATTCGGCTCGAAGGACCAATATTGCTATGTTTGTATTCACCGCCATACTAGGGCGCATGCTCAGGCACGATACGCTTTGCCCACAATTCAGGGGCGGATCCAGACGATGTTTGAGGGGGGGGCCATAGAAAGTCACAGCTCAATAAGGTTAGCGCGGAAGAAAAATTATATGGTGACCTTCTGAGATAAATGCTTTTTCATTAAAAAAATTGATTATAGTAAACATGAAATCTTTAGTTTCCTTTCAAGTATCGAAATTACTGGTGTAAAAAAACAAGTTCAAACTATTCTTATTCCATCAATATATGTAGAATTCTGTGATAAATCATATTGGATAAAAAAAGTTAATAAAAAATATTTCTCTTGAAGAACTTGGGTTCAAAAGTGAATAAAAATATTTCTTTTGAAAAACAAAACAAATGAAACAGACAAAAATTAAAAAAAAAACAAATTCCAGTCTTCTATTCTTCTGCCTAACGTATCTTTGGATGATATCATCAACATTCAGACTGCTGCAGATGCCCCTGTGAATATGCATCAATGCCAATCTATTTAACGTGTCTTGGACCATTCTGGATCTTATCCAATCTTTCAGCCTTCTGAGTGTTGAAAAACTTCTTGCAGAAGATGCAACACTAACAGGCAGGCAACATAATGGTTCCAGAAGAATGTTTATGTTAGGAAACAAATGTTTGTTACATCCCTTCGGGGCAGTTATACCATTGTTTGGTATATTTTGCTTAGTATCCCACATTTCAGAAACGATCTTCTGAAAGGATATTTCATCATTCTCCTCAAAAATGGTCGAAAATTGTCCAAGTATATTTCTCATACCTCATATATTTCCTCATCTCTTTTGTTTTTAGTTATTGATGGCACACAAAGGTGAAGGTTGTATAGATTCAATTTATTTTCTGATAGTCTATCATTCAGATCAAGGATAATACTGGGATGAAATAGTTATTCTGTAATGGGTCATCCACTGGGGAAACCGTAGGATTCGGTCTATGAACCAGTCTCCCTGTTATTCTCGGCATCGAAAATTCAACATTCAGTTGTTTCAATTTCTGTTTGGCTCCATTCGAAATACTTAGATAGTATTTAAAATATCATCCCGTTTATTTTGAAGCGTCATCAGAAGAGTGATTCTAACAACATCGTTAGCTTGTTTTTTGTCTAAGTTTTTTGTTTGGAGCAAATTACTGAGTGGCAGTGCTATTGAAGACAATATTTGCCAAACAGCAATTTGCAATTCCTCAGAGCTGTTGCGATGTTTCTAGCTATAAAGACACATACACTAATTTTCTCATTTATTTAAAATACCTACATTTTTACATATCCATGAGGTTCCCGAGGGGGGGGGGCATGCCCCCCCCCTTGGATCTGCCCCTGCCACAAGCAGCTAAACGAACACTTGACTCGCGACCTCGACATGAGACGTTCAACATTTAACTCTTGTCGTGTAACTGTAATCCGGATTCATCTCAGACAAGTAAAACCATTGCAAGTATAAAAGGTGTTTGATTGCAGTATTAACAAACATACTAAATATGTTCAATGCTTGATAGATAGTGGATTGTATGGCTATATGATATTCATGAAAATGAAATAGAGGTTGATATTAGAATTGCAATTCGTATTGCAATCTTTATTTATTTATTGATTTTTAATGATGAATCTCATGTTTCAACAACACGCCTTCATGTTAACAAATGAAAACACAATCCTAAACGTCAAACACTGGTGAATGAATGAAATCGCGAATGATGAGGATAAACTTGCCGACACTCTTTCGCATCCAGTTAAGTACACACCTCAGAATAAATAACAATTTATAGACACTGCGATTCATTTATAAATCGTTGAAAAGAATGTGCTAAGAATCCGTTCGCTTGAACTGCTTGTTGCCACCTGTGGTTTGAATAGATTCGGCTCGAAGGACCAATATGTTCGATGCTTGATAGATGGTGGACTGTATGGTTAGATTGTTTAATAGTTTAGATTAATGAAAGTGAAATAAATGTTGATATTAGAATTTCTTCATTTATTGATTTTTAATCATGAATCTCATGTTTCAACTACACGCCGTCATGTTAACAAATTAAAACACAATCCTGAATGCAAAAATCGGGAATGGTGGGGATAATAACAGACACTTGTACATTCGCGGGTGAGTGTTCAGACTAAATAACGATAGATAGACACCGTATTCATTCATAAATCGTTGAAAAGATACGCAAACAATCCTAAACGTCAAACACTTGTGAATGAATGTAATCGCGAATGGTGAGGATAAACGTGCCGACACTCTTCCGCAGCCAGTTAAGTACACACTTCAGACTGAAGAAACAATACATGGACACTGCGATTCATTTATAAATCGTTAAAATGTATATTCTAACAATCCGTTCGCTACAACTGCTTGTTGCTACCTGTGGTTTGAATAGATTCGGCTCGAAGGACCAATATGTTCAATGCTTGATAGATAGTGGACTGTATGGCTATATGATATTTATGAAAATGAAATAGAGGTTGATATTAGAATTGCAATTCGTAATGTAATCTTTCTTTATTTATTGATTTTTAATGATGAATCTTATGTTTCAACAACACGCCGTCATGTTAACAAATGAAAACACAATCCTAAACGTCACTGGTGAATGAATAAAATCGCGAATGATGATGATAAACGTGCAGAAACTCTTCCGCAGCCAGTTAAGTACACATCCCAGACTAAATAACAATAGATGGACACTGCGATTCATTTATTAATCGTCAAGAATGATATGCTAACAATCCGTTCGCTTGAACTGCTTGTTGCTACCTGTGGTTTGAATAGATTCGGCTCGAAGGACCAACATATTCCATGCTTGATAGATAGTGGACTGTATGGTTATATGATATATTCATGATAATGAAATAAAGGTTGATATTAGAATTTCAATTCGTATTGCAATCTTTCTTTGTTTATTGATTTTCAATGATGATTCAATAGTTCACTATTCAGTGAGGAGAACAGCGTTGCCGTCTCAACTGATTCTTCAGCTTGTTTGGATATTTTAACATTCTTGGCTCTCAAGATTTCACTGATTTCAACAATGTAATGGATGAAATGAACAAGACAGCTTGAAGCTCACTTGTTTATTTAAAAACATTATTGTGAGATATTATTACATGGTTATCAGAGCGATGTCATCAAAATTTGAAGCTCATTGAAATGGCAAGTTCACCAAGATTGTTCAGTTAAATTGTATAAACATCGGTATAAACGTATAATTGAGGATTAGCCCAAATTTGTTTGCTGCTGATAGAACATACAATGTGATACAACCTACTTGATCAGTAATTACTACATCAATGAATATCGAATCATTTCGACAGTTCACAGTTGGATCTTGGATCGGTTCGAAAATTGAGAAACATCTACTTGATATTACCCTAAAATAAAACAGCTGGCAACACAAGAAAATGGATTTAACACGTCAGTACTGTATATACGAGTTTGGCGCCGAACTTTATGTTTGAACGTTCCATGATATTGCTGGACTACGTTTTTGGGCCAATTTCATTTTTGATGTACTGGTGTTCCAGTAAAGTCGTCCAACGGCGATATCTAAGAGACTATTTATCCTATAGCTCCAGACGAAAATTCATCAAATATAACTCTGGGAAGTATATGTATGAAATATTAGTGTTTTTCATTTTGGGCACTCACCTTTATCAAAAACGATGAAGCTGAAGGTGACAAGAGCAATGAAGATGGAACAGCCCACATCGAGAGAAAATCCAAAAGCTGAACCGGCCGATATGCTCATGAACCACGCGCCCGTGGAATAGTCTTGATAATTATCGAATTCCGCAATCAGAATGTCTTCCGCCCTGAAGGCCCTTATGGTACTCAGTCCTTGCAGGGTGGCACCCAAATGCGTAAAAACTGGACTTCTCACTAAAAAAATTCAAAATATTAGGGGCGTTTGAGAACAGCTTCTGTAAAACGATGACTTACTCATTCCTTCCAATCGTTTCAAGTTCTTGGAGGATTTTAGGTAAATGTGCCTTATGAACCAGAAGGTAATAGCAAGGATCAAAATCAAGATTAAGAGATATGGATTTACTGATGTCACTAGAACCAAAGACCCGATCATTTGAAGAATCATCTGCAAACACAATGTTCATCATTATAATTATACAAAAACAGGGAGGTAATATACCAGAAATTATTGTTTAATAAATTCGGATGAAGTCAACAGTCCATACTCATAGAACAAGACTTGATAAATCCAAAAAAGTTGGTGAACAATCGCTAACTCATAGTGGAACAATGTCATACACCTCATTAGGTAGGTGTATACTTGAATTGAGTGAACCGTTAATAATCAGAGAAAACTTTAATTGCTGTCCCTGCTCGGGCGCCAAAAAGTGTGAAACTTGTGCTACAGGTTTAATAAGTGTAATTTATATCAGGTTCAGTAATTTTGTTTCTGTGTGTATGGTTTTATTTGATATTACTCACTTGTCCTGCGTCCAACAGAGTTCTAGGCACCATTTCATCGACAAAACCTATATCTTTGGAGAACCTGTTGAGAATCCTGCCGCTGGGATTCGTATCGAAAAATCGCATGGTGGCTCCTATGATTCCTTGGAAAAGATATTCGTGCAACTTCATGGAACAAACAGTGGCCAAGGAATAGAAAGAAAATGATCTTAAAGAAAGAAAGGTTCTTTTACTTTAGCTCCTGCGTACCAATGTCAGATATCATGTGTGTTTTTGATATCAATTTATACATTTTACACTACTCTGACAATTGTCATACTAAATGAAAACCAAGTTAGTAGGCAAGAGGTATATGTGTGCGGCGCTAGTTTACTGAGCTCATTTGCTTCGAAGGAATATTTGTCAAAATAGACAATTTTGATTTGATTGTCTAATTTAATATCTGCACTTTATGAGAAATCACTGAAAGTATTGTATCGCCTCTTATTTGATATCCTAACAAATGATCTGTATGCGATAACAGACAAATGTTCATTGGATGAATTATATAAAATAGATTCTCATAAACTTTCATATAATATCTTAAACAATAATATGAAATCCAATTTTATTTTTATAAGAAACTCAGAAATTCATGGTCATCACACGAGACAATTGAAATTATTTCATCTTGATTCTGCTACTTCTATAATTGGCCAAAAAGAATTTACCCTCGCTGCTCTAGCTGAATGCAATAAATTACCACATAATATAAAGAATTGTAGACATATTTCAAAATTTGAAATTGAATTTTGAAAACACATGATTTTATTACGAAATGGATAAAATGGATGAATCTGTAGGTTAATATCGTGGAGGTAGTGAATTCATTATTCCAGATTTTTTGGGATTTTCTCTCCTCGTTTCTATAAAATAAAAATATGAATATTATTTCAATATACGTGTAGTAAGGACAAATCAGAAGATTTGCCCCAAAATGTCACTGCGTTTAAAGAATTTTCTTATCAGAGAGCCTAAAAGAAAAATTCACTAGTTTGTCAGTGACAAATTGTATTGAAAAAGGTTTGGAGAAGAGAAATGAAGGTATATAGAAAAAATATCAAATTTTCACTTAGCTTTGGACGTTTCGGGAACGAATCTGCTCCCGTTCTCAACATGAAAATGCAAAATATTTTTCTTTGGAAGTGTTGCTCTGCTTACCCAGCGATAGTGACAATTAAATTGGTATCAAGCTGTCAGTTTGTAAATTTTCAAACTTGAAGTAATATTAATTGTGTATTGTTGTTCTGTTCTTAATTTGTAAAAAAATTGTTAAACAAATTATATGTACCCCCTTCAAGGAGCTGTATCTTAACATGGGATACTCCAATAAAGTTACACTTATTTAGTTACACCCTACCCTGTATACCTTCATTTCTCTTCTCCAAACCTTTTTCAATACAAATTGTCACTGACAAGCTAGTGGAATTTTCTGTTATGCTCTCTGATAGGGAAATTCTTTAAACGCAGTGACTACACGTACAAATATTGAAATAATATTCATTTTTTTATTTTATAGAAACGAGGAGAGAAAATCTCAAAAAATCTGGAATATTAAATCAAATTGATACGTTGCCATCTACTCATTAGTCTCTGTGGATATTTTCATGACTTGATCGATTTAGCATTTTTAGATTTTTTAGATTTTTTTGTTGTTGTTGCTGTCACCTTATGTTATTTTATTATTGTTATTTGTAATCCTCATACCATAATTTTATTTCTGACTGGAAGCTTGTTTGTCAATAAACAATAATAAAATGAATAAGTTAGTTCAGAGCATAGGTCACTTTTCGCATTTTATTGATGAACAGATAACAATCATACCTCTCGCCTACTAACTAGGTGTTCATTCGAAATGCCAATGCTCTGGCAAAAGAAAAAAAAATTCATCGTACCTGGAAAGTTGAGCAGTCAGCAAAGTCATGATCAGCCCCCCGTAGATGTACAAACACACCTCGGTGGAAAAATCCGGATACCAATTGTCCGCCACCGTCGCATTCGAGCTCTTCAGCTCTCTGTACTCCTCGATATTGGTCCACAAACTGATGAACCAATCCACAGAGCTGGCAGCTACTTGTGCAAAACCGAACAGGAAGAGAACCAATGCAACGTTGCAAGCGCTGGCGCCAGATCGCATGTACTTCAGCAGAAGAGAACCGACCACTTTGCCCTTGGAGCTCTCTTCTTGCACGTCTTTCATTTTGATGTTTTCTTCTTCGTCGTCGTCGTCGTCTTCTTCCTCGATTTCGTCCGGGATCACGCCGTCTACGATGGTCCTGGCGCTGATTATGCTGGTCGTTGAGGATTTTCGACTCTGAAAAACGGACAGCAATCAGAACTGGATGAAGTGGACGTTTATATTTAGATCACCAGTGATTTGGACTAACACAACTGTGGGAGGATGAACTTCAATTTTGGTCCCTGCTCGGGCGCCAAATGGAAAACTCTGATCATTAAGTTAGTCCAAGAACACTTTCAGGAGAAACAACCGTTCACCTACTACCTCACTTCACAAGAGATACAATAATAATAATAACAATAATACCATTATTCATCCGAAGAATCGAGGACCACAAAAAATGTGATTAAGAAATCCAATATCCAATAAAATGGAAGATGAATAGTTGAATCAGAATTGATCGATATGCCGTGAGAAGAGATCCAATAATAATTCTTCAGTTCACTCGTGAATTTTCTGTAATGTAATTGAAGTGAGATATTGTTTTTTATCTCTGCAATATCAAAAACCGAACACCCTTTATACGATTCAAGTTTTTTTCATGTTCTGGTTCCCACGAAAAGGGATATCCTTTAATGTTCAGAGAACATCGTGAGAACCAAGGGAAATATGGTAGGAATTGGTGTTCTTCTTAAATTTCTGGAGGTTATAGGTTATATTCGTTGGATGAACGAGTCTTTGGAAAGAGATGTTCTGCAGGTCTCCAAAGTGACCAGAAAGGGGTGCGAAGCCTCAACTCGACGGGTTAATCTCGCGGGGATTGCCAAGGGAGGAACAATTGTTGATATTTCAGAAGAGCATCGTCCATGAAAATATCTATAAAATAGAGCTAGATCGCCAACTTTTCTACGGTGTTCCAGAGAAGTGAGTGAGTTTGTGAGCGAGGCATCACTCACGAGACGAATTGCTCTTTTTTGGACAGAATCCAACAGTTTCAGGGTATGTTTGGGTGCTGCACTCCAAATATGGAAACAGTATTCCAGGACAGGTCGGATCTGTGCCTTATAGATCATAAGCAGCTGACTGGAAGTGAAATAGCTCCTGGCCCGTGATCAAACTTACCCTTTTTGATATTTGCCTGGAATATTTGATGCTCTCCTTCCTGGTTATTTCCTCTTTCACTGATACAGGTTCGGGTTCGGTGGTTAGTAATTTGGCATACAGATTATCACTATTAGAAAGATCGTTGAAGCTTCCTTCTTTCTCAATACGACCCTGAAAATGAAAACAAAACTTTTGGCTCAAGCTGTTGTAGATTTTTACATATCGACAGAAATCAGTTAATTGGTATGGAAAAGAAAGAGAAAAGTCAAAATAGGAAGAATTGATAGTGATCTCCTACTCTTGATCAAAAACATTGTGGGTAGGTACTTCCAATCAAACTGAAAATGTCATCACATCACATTATTTTACTACTACTCAAACCGTACTTTTGACGCTTTTACATGCGTCTTGCTAGTTTTTAACATTTTCCAGATACATTATTTTATTAATTACAGCTTCTCGATGTCTCTGTTAACATTGTAATATGTTCAGCTATTCTTGATTTCACCTACTTCACAACACTTTGAATACACAGAATGTTCCTTCACTCTAGTTCTGAAGGATCTCCTAGTTTGACCTACTTATGTTCTGAAGCAGATGGCTTTAGTAGAGTCGAAGGTCATGTCAGTTGTTTATTTTACGCTTTCAGAGCTTACATTTCTGAAAACCTATACAGGGTGTTTCCTTACTAATTGGAAATATTTCAACCTTAGAATCCCGAACTCAAAATATGAAGATTCAACCCAAATCACCTAGATAAAATATGTCTCCTGTCTGAGTTACAGGGTGTTTCATTAAAAAAATTTGAAATGTTTTTTGCCCAGTTCTTCAAAACTATTTGACGTATCACTGTCATATTTGGAGGGAAGTGTAGGTACTATACACCCAACTGAATTATGTGAAATGAATTTTTCTGGCTATTACCAGAGGTGTACGACAAGGACAAGTAACTGGTTGATCCTTCCCAAATTCTACGCCACTGGCGGAATTGCAATTTCATCAGAATTTTTCGTTTCTTCAATGCCTTCTTCGTAAATATTGGACTCTTTTTCAGGATATTATAAAAAAATATGTTTCTTGGCGGTAACAAAGAACAACAACTTGAATAAATAGTTATTTATTATACAAAGGAAAAAAGTAGTGGATTTTAGCTCCAGGTTGTGTTGTCCAATTTTTTATTATTGACCGAAGGAATCTTGGAAGCGGTGAGAGAACAATTTTAAGGGGTGCTTTGTTTTCGAAATACAGGGTATCATAGTTTTCATTAAAAATCGTTTTTTCTGTGACGAGAAGAAAGTTTGATATCTCATCTCTGTTGACAAGTTATAAAATGTCACTTTTCATGAATCATTTTTATCCCCGATTTTCCCATAGTATGATGAATATAGTTATTTATTATACAAGGGAAAAAAGTAGTAGATTTTAGCCCCAGGTTGTGTTGTCTCCCGACGCGTAGCGGAGGGAGACAGAAAACCGTGAGCTAAAATCTAATATTTTTCCCGTGTATAATACTCTATTTTTTTCTGTGACAGAAGAAAGGACGGATTAATATTGAGAAGATATTACATTATTTTGAAATCTGAAAATTATCGACATGAAATTTTAAGCTTTCAACAGTAGGGACACCTGCGTTTTGAATGCATCTTTATCATTCTTTTAAAGTACTCAAATATCTGATGTCACTTCTGTCAGTCTTATTCTGTGATTTGGTTTCAAAAATTTGCGAATTTAGTGGTTGTTTAGTAATATACGTAACCGCGAAGTCGAATGGAAGATAAAAGAAATTGCAGTTCTTTCTCGGAGACGGTATTATTGACTCATTTTTCGGAACTATAGCACAACAAAAGCCATCAACACTGTATATACAGTGTCATTCATAAAGTCGGCATCATATGGGAAAAACTTTTATTATTGACTTATTTTGAAATTCGAGTTGGACGTTAAGTTTTGCTTCAAAGAAGATGAAAAATGGCCCACTTAATCGGGGTCACGTGACTTTCGCTACATGTCAAAAGTGACATTTTTTCAAATTAATCGCTGAAAGTAGGCTTATTTGTTCGAATATCGAAAAAGTTCACTTGAAAAAGTTGTTTCTATTCAAATTTAACATATGTCACTCGGATTTTATCTTTCTATAACATTTTTTAGATTTCGATATTTTTTGAAAATTTTCGAAATTTCTGTAATATTAGAAAAATTGTAAATTCGATAAAACTACTTCATACCAGTAGCTTCATTATGCTACTAACTTTCAATTACTAATCATCACTAATTATCGACAAAAATATGATTTTCTTCAAAATTCTCTTATGTTTGATGCAAACATAACATCAGAATTCTGTTATGTTTGAGTCAAGCATTTAGAAACGAAATTCATTTAAATTTATTTTTTCAGTACTGAAAAGATCAGTTAAAATGAATTTCGTTTCCAAAATGCTTGACGATATATCAACTTTGCATCAAACATAACAGAATTTGGAAGCGGGTATTATCATTTTCTGAAGAAAATCATATTTCTGTCCATAATCAGTGCTAATAAGTAATTGAAAATAAAAAGCATGAAAAAGCTACTGGTATGAAGTAGTTCCGTGGAATTAACAATTCTTCAAATATTACAGAAATTTGAAAAAATAAAAAAAAAAAAACCTAAAAGTTGCACTAGAAAGATCAAATTCGAGAAGCATGTGTAAAATTGAAATAGAAACAACTTTTTCAAGTAAACTTTTTCGTTATTCGAACAAATAAGACTACTTTCAGCGATTGATTTGAGTCACGTGACCCCGATTGAGTAGGCCATTTTTCATCTATTTTGGAGCAAAACTTAACGTCCAACTCGAATTCCAAAATAAGTCATTAATAAAAGTTTTTCCCATATGATGCCGACTTTATGAATGACACTGTATATGTGATATATATCCGGGAAAAAAGTACTCACTTTTTTTCCCACGAGAAGAAAGTAATTTATGAAAAGTGACATTTATAACCTGCCAACAGAGATGAAATGCCAAACTTGTTTCCCGTCAAAGAAAAAATACTTTCTGGGTTACGTTTCAAACAGTCCACAATAGGGTGAAATTGAAATGTTCCTGGAAGGTTTCATGTTCAGGGTGACTCACGTTATTCAAAATGATGATGTTGTCGGCGTTCTTCAAATAGTGCACCTGATGCGTGACCAGAATCCTCGTTTTCCCCGCCAAGAAGCCGTTGATGCACTCCTCGTACAGCGTCTTGGACACGTGGATGTCCACGGCGGACAGCGGATCGTCCAACAGATAGATGTCCATGTCCCTGTACACGGCCCTGGCCAGATTGATCCTGGCTTTCTGGCCGCCGCTGAGCGAGGCGCCCTTATCGCCCACGATGGTGTGGTCTCGGTTGGGGAATTGGGCGAAGTCTCTTTCCAATGCGCAGACGCGTATAACCTACAACATTTTCGAGAAAAATATTGAAGGAATTCTGGAAAACGCGGGTGCGCTGCGTTGTGCCCACATTTCGATATTCCCACATTTCGTTAGCCCCACAATTCGAAAGAGGCACTGTTGCCAAATACTATCCTATTCACCAGAATTCAATAAAACGGTTATTGTGGGCCTATCGACACATTGCGTTACACCTACATTTCGATCTTTTTCTTATGTTCTGGTTCCCACGAAAAGTTAAATCCTGTAATGTTCAGAGAACATCGTAAGAACCAAGGAAAATAAGGTAGGTGTTTTTCTTAAATTTCTGGAGGTTATATGCCTCGGGAAACCCCTCCCTTGGCAATGTGTTCCAGAGCCTCGCTGTTCGTTGGATAAACGAATCTTTGGAAAGAGATGTTCTGCAGGTCTCCAAAGTGACCACGAAGGAGTCCGAAGTCTCAACTCGACGGGTTAATCTCGCGGGGACTGCCTAGGGAGGAACAATTGTTGATATTTCAGAGGAGCATCGTCCATGAAAATATCTATAAAATAGAGCCAGATCGCCAACTTATCTACGGTGTTCCAGAGAAGTGAGTGAGTTTGTGAGCGAGGCATCACCCACGAGACGAATTGCCCTTTTTTGGACAGAATCCAACAGTTTCAGGGTATGTTTGGGTGCTGCACTCCAAATATGGGAACAGTATTCCAAGACAGGTCGTATCTGTGCCTTATAGATCATAAGCAGCTGACTGGAAGTGAAATAGCTCCTGGTCCGAAACAGAAAACCAAGTTTTTGGGATGCACTTTTAGCAATTGATCTCACGTGATTTTCCCAAGAAAAGTTATTGCTGATAGTAATACCAAGCATCGAAATGGATGTCTTCAAAGGTATGGTTACTCCTGACAAGCTCATGTTGGGCACAGTGGGATCGGCTTTTCTAGAGAAAAGGCATGCTTCTGTTTTGTTCGCATTGAAATCTATAATACCAAGTTATTGGATCCCCATTCGAGAATTGTTGCCAAGTCCATATTTATGTTGTCAACATTTCTCCCTCGTTCGTTTCTGATTTTCTGATTCGCCTGGCTGGTATTGGAGCCCTGGAAGAGAAGGCAGTACGGAGGGTACTATCATCCGTGAAGCTGTGTACTGGACATGAAGTTGATTCCAACACATCGTTGATATGGAGTAGAAATAGTGTTGGTGCTAGAATTGATCCTTGCGGAACACCAGCATTTATGATAAGTGAGTCAGATGAAACTCCGTCGACCAATACATGGAGAGACCTGTTTGAGAGAAAACTAGCTAGCAGAGAACATAGCTGGGGAGGCAAGCCATAAGATGGAAGCTTGGCGTTAGCCCCACATTTCATTATTCCCACTGTCTCGGAACATCCCCGAAGGATGGACGTTTGCCAGATGTGGGTGTAACACAATGTGCTTTAGGCCCACAATGTCTAGTACACGCGTCTAGCTATAGCATTTCCCTCTATGGCTTCCTGAATTCCGAATACATAATATGAAGAGGGAAAATATCCTTTTTGCATAAGAAAGGAGACTACGTTTTCTGAACATTCTAACCTTGCTCGGCCTAAATTAACCTTCTTACTAGGAAATATATTTTTCTGAATATTACTTGAGAGTGCCAAAGCGAGACTATCCTTTTTCAAAACAATCTAACCTAACTCGAACTAAATAAACCTTCCTAAAAAGTATATTCTTTGATAAATTGCTTGAGGGAACAAGGGATACCACTTTTTCTAAACAATCTAACCTAACTCAGCCTATGAAAACTTTAGGGTTTGTAAAATGAAAATCCAGAAGAAGCTTTTGGACCCGACGATTTCTGATTCGTATGCCTTCTTCATCCCCGTAACTTCAACCCCCTACCAGGGGGAAAATGAGTGTCAAAATATTTTTCAATAGATTATGAAATGTTTCAGTAGATCAGTAGATTAATATGTAAATCAGGAGATCTACTGATAATTCAGTAAAACTGACAACCCTGCAGCGGACGAATAGTGTTTGCGGAGAAAATAAAGTATTTGCCTTCGGAAATAAAAGTCGTTTTTTTTGTAATACTTTTCGAATTCAACTCAAACAAGAATGATATTTTCGGCATTCGACATTGCCTCTTCCACTATTTTATCTCTCATTTCGTTATTGATGAAAATTTTGACGCGAGGGTCGAATAGTATTCGATGAAATCTTCAAAATGAGACATCGCAACACCCTTCATTCTATTAAAAATCCAGGGACTGTGCTTCCTTCTGGTAGGGGGTTGAAGTTACGGGAATGAAAAAAGCAGACAATTCGTTCCTCCTCGAATTGAGCGTATTTCCAGCTTTTCATTTTGAAGCCCTGAAATCGGGGCGTTGAGCTTTCTTTGGACCACCGTGTATGAACATTTTATCCCCTTCTTTCGAATTGGGAATCCATTTCAAATGCGAACACTTACCTCTTTGTATCGTTTTTTGTCGAATTCCGCTCCGAAAACTATGTTCTGACGAATGGTAGAAGAGAAGACCCACGGCTCTTGGGAGGCGTAAGAGAACCTTCCAGAGATGTTCATGGTGCCATCAGAGATTTCCAGTTCACCTAAAAACGAGAACAATTATAATGAGAATGTTCTAGAATATTGGAAAATTCTCTTGATTATGGGTCCTCATAAGGTCCTTCGTCATCCCTGAAATTTATATACCCTATTTTTTTTGTTATTTTCATTTAATCTTTGTTTATTGAATCCCAATTTTTTACTGTTTTTGGAGCGCGGTAAAATTTTGTGAACAACCATCAATTAAAAATTTATGCATGATCCGATTGGTTTCTATGATACATCATTTGAAAGCTAAGAAGGTCTACTTTTCGATTGTGCAATTACTTTTTTAGGCGAAGTCGTCCATTTTTCAATAAAATTAGAAAAAGCGGGGACAAGGAAAAAACTCAATTTTTTTTTCGGTGTTTTTTTTTCTCCGTGCTCTCTATTTCTAACATTTTAACACCTTAACTAGTGTAACGGGGGAATTCCCACCTTTCTATCGATGTATATAAGTCATACCTTTGATATCCCGAAAAAAAAAACAGTATATCTAAATGTACACGCTATAATTTATTACTTTCGTTCCTCCGTCGTTCGCCGCGTGTGTGCTCTACGTGGCGCTCGGGTCGTCTGCTACAAACCATGCGGCCACGCAGGGTATGATAGCAGCAGAATTCCTCTTTCACATGAACTTTGAATCATGAGAAAATATGCATTTTTAACAAAGTTATTGAATAATTTGTCCCCCCGCCGATGTGTAAATACACGGACTGTGCTCTCCGGCATACAACACAGAAGCTCATTATTCGAGGTGCGCTTCGTGCCGTTTTTCTCGAAACCGGGCAAATTTTCGAGAAAAATGATAGGGACCATTTTTGTAGAAAATTAACTGAATTTCAATTTTTATCTGAACCGAAAATCTCTAACTGCCATATTTTAGGAGATATTGGCTGAAAACCTATTTTCCTGGTCTTTTGGTGCCATTTTCTCCGCCATCGCACGCGTTTTCCAGTCAAACTTTGTCTCATGTTTAATGAGGTACCAAAAGCTACTTCCATTCGGAAGATGAAAATAGTGCGTAATTAACGTTAACTTTGCCTTTTTTTCCTCCTTCATTTATTGGACTAAATTGTCCAAGAATGTTCTAAAATGCTTCAGAATATTTCAATAATGTTCCTTATTCATCCTGAACGTCCTAGAAGGTGTCACTATATCAAAACTCGTTTCTCTATAGAACTGGAAAGAACTGGAATTCATTGCCTGAGGAAGTATTTCCAAGGACATAATCTCCAGAAATTAAAAAAAAATTCAGATTCAACATTCCATTTCGTGCGCACCATGCGTTAAAAAAAAGAATGATATCGAATGCTGAAAATGTTGGTGAACATTATAGAGAACCTTTGATATGTTTGAAAATGTTCTAAAATGATCCAAAATATTAGAGAATCTTAAAAGAAGTTCTAGAATTTTCTATCCTGAATGTTCTTGAAGGTTTCAAATTTTTCTAGAATTTTGGAAGATGATGCAGAATATTATAAAATCTTCAAGTAGACTCGAAAATGTTCAGTACCTCTCTAGAATATTGAAAAATCTTCCAAAAGATTCTTTTCTCGAATCATGCATGGCCAAGAATGCTTCAGAATTCTCAAGAAAATTAGAAAATGTTCAATATTCTCCATGAATGTTCTAGATGATTTGAGAATGATATGGAATATTTGAAAATATTCCATGAAATTATAAAGAATCTTCTAGTATATTTGAAAATATTTTGGAATGATCCAGAATATTGAAGAATATTTCGAAAGGTTCTAGAATTTTCTTCGCTCGCACGTTAAAACATCTCGATCATTAATCGCCCTCATTAATACACTAGTTGGTCAAATAACTATTATATTCTTTGAGGTTTCATTATGTTCTGGTAAGTTGTAAATTGTTCCAAAATATTATAGAATCTTCTAGAACCTTCTAGAATGTTTCAAGGTGCCCGAGAATGTTCCAGACCCCCAAAAAGAATTATGATTTTTCCAAATCACATTCGATAGCAGCTGAAATGATCTTCGACTTGCCTAATAGCGTTTGCAGGAGCGAACTCTTGCCTGACCCGACCGGTCCAATCACCCCAATCAGCTTCCCTCTGTTCGCCTTCAAATCGATATTGTGCAGCACATCGTCGCTGCTCGCTTTGTTCCATTTGGCGCTCAAATTCTTCAATTTGACCGCCTCTTTGCCATCATTGCCGGAATCGAAGGCGTGCGATTCTCCGGCTCGGTCGTACTCGTATTCCTCGTTGGCCAAGAACATTTGGAGTCTGCGCAAAGAGATGAAGAGCTCCGCTACTTCGGTGACGCCTCGCACGAAGAGGGCGGTCAAGGTCATCGAGAGCATGTTGAAGTACGACATCAGGACGAACACCTGGATAAAGTGTATATACAGTGAGACCCACTTTTAATGGAAACACCCCTGTATCTTACGTAATCGTTGGGTAAGGATCCTGAAATTTGCTGGAGCGACAGATACACGAAAAATGCACTCTATGACCAAGTGGGGTCATCTTCATGGATATACACTGCTCGCCAGCAGCCATGAAAACACCCCAATTTCCGGAAAATGATATTAGGAATCAAAATAGGTCGAAAATCACTTCAGATTCGGAATCAGGGCGAGTTTTCCTGGAAAATTTTCAGCTCAGAAAAATTACGTACACAAATCTCACGTAATTTATTTATTTATTTATTCATTATTATACAACCAGCAGGCCCTAGAGCCCAATTACAGGTGTACATAATTACAAACTAACCCAGCGAGCACAAAACATCTCAGAGATGTTAAAAGTACGAGATTTCGAGACATTGAACCTCCACTGCGATGTTCTGTTTACACATGAATAGAACTATTATAGAACAGCCAATGTCCGCCGCAGGCGGCAATTATCTAGATGTCATTGATATGTCACAAAACTACCTTCTCCCTAGTTCTTTTTAAAGCCTTTTCATGGACACAACAAAACATTTTCAACGCGTCATGCGCACATTAAATCGCTGTAAAAAAAACATTTTCGAGGTACTTTTCTGAAGCCTTTTGTCAAAATGAACTAGGATTCCATTTCCCTTGAATGAAAAAATGCATTAAAAATAGATTGAACATAAAAATATTTTCTTGATATGAAATTACCTTCTTAATCGGTTTCTGAGTAGTGCTTACTACACACAGACATATAATTGGAAATAGGTTTCCCAATTTTTGAAATGTTCTCCACAATGCATAATTTTGCAACTGCGGAGAAGCTGTGAATTGATAAATTCGTACTTTTATAATTATATTGATTACACTGAGGCACCGAACAACACATCATGCATCTGATGGTCATTATTACAAACTAAATAAGTCTTCTAACACAATAAACTTCACCAAATTCCTTTCTGCTCGTTAGCAGCGTGATGTAAGCGTGACACGCTGCAAACGCGAATGCCAATTGCGAACAAGAAGAACAAAATCGAAAACGAATCAGAATTCATCGTATTGTGACGTAAGCATGAGACGTTGTGGTGGGGCAAACAAAGAAAGGGCTCAAAAGAACAAAAACAATACTTTCAATATCCTTCTAAGATCTCGCTTTGGGAAGTGCATATTACGCCTCAAAATGACATCCTCATGCCTACATTTCTAAAACATCCCAAAACATCTCAGGGATACCTCTCAGTAGGCAAACAAAGAAATGCCACAGAAGAACAAAAACAATACTTCAATATCCTTCAAAGACCTCTTTGGTCAGTGCATATTACGGATGTTTGTGCTCGCTGGGAAGGGATTAGAAGTGATTAGAAAAAAGTTATACAAAATATCAGTTAGGAACTGAGTTAAGAATAACACGTTTGAACTGTGCAAATGAGATATTGTTTACACTTCTAGACATTGTTGTTATAGGCGAGTGGAATTTGTGAATTGTGTTAGGTACAGGTAAGTAAAATGTTTTATAAGCACGTGAAGGAGCTCGAGGAACATTGAACATCATTTTGTGATAGGATAGTAAAGGAATCTATTTGATTGTGTATAATTTTGTGAATGAAGCATAAGTCTCTCATTTCACGATGTTTTTCAAGTGATATCAAATTGAACTCACTAAGGAGTAGGTCATAGTTATAGCCTCTAACAGGATAATTACCATGCCTTTTATGAAATGCAAATTTCAAAAATTTCCTCTGAACATTCTCAATAGCTGAAATATATTTACCATAAGACGGGTTCCAAACAACACTACAATTATTGAGGTAGGGTTCTGAAATTTGCAGGAGGAACGGAAAGTCCAAAGATAAAGTCAATACGAGGGTGCTTCCGTGGAAAGTGCGACAAAATTTAATTTTCCAAAACTGAAAATTTTCCAGGAAAAATATGTATAGTTAGTGAATTGGGCATCCTGATTCCGAATCTGAAGTGATTTTCGACTTATTTTGACTCCTAATATCATTTTCCGGAAATTGGGGTGGTTTCATGGCTGTTGGCGAGCAGTGTATATCACTGGAGATGACCCCACTTGGTCATACAGTGCATTTTTGGTATATCTCTCGCTCCAGCAATGATTACGTAAGATACAGGGGTGTTTCCATTAGAAGTGGATCACACTGTATGAGGTAATTTTAAGTTGCGTAGGAATATTAGGACAGTTGTCACCCCCAGACTAAATAATGATATATAGATAGACACCGCAATTCATTCATAAATCATTGTCAAGAAAATTAAATCAGATATTGGTAAAAAAATCCATCTATCACAATGGACTGATACAATACTATTCACTACCAAATAACTTGAAGCTGAATAATAGGATTGAAAAATTCAAAAAGGAATTCAAGAAACATCTACTCCTGTAATATTGACATCTTATCTCGTTTTCATAGTTTTCTCGTACTATACTAACTACTATAGTTTTCCATTGAGTACCTAACAGCTGAGTCAATTAAGAATCATTTTCAGTTGAACTTAAAAATGAAGATTTCTTCTTGAGTGTGAGTCTTATTTTACTGTCTTCTTTATTTTGTCAAATATATTCATATATTCACCATGTTCCTGCTATAAACAAATGTTGTTTCTTGGGAATAATATAGTTGATTGATTGATTGAAAAGTATACGCCAACAATCCCAGACGCCAAACACGGATAAATGAATGAAATCTCGAATGGTGGGGATAACTCTACGGTATCTTTTCTAGAGAATTGATATTATTTATAGATATATTTTATATACCTATCTAATAAATCGAGATTTCTATAAATGTGTGTATGTGCATTAATGAATAAACTCTCACGTATAATAATTTTAAAATATGTCATTTCGTAACGTCTGAGTGAGGTTATTTTATATATATTCAATATTATTAACAAGCTTTTCATCTACAAATGTAAGCCATCAAACAAGACCACCACTGGACCAAATTTCTACGTCCTGTGAACAATCAGGTACGGATATTTGGTTGGGTATTCTGTGTCACGGTCACTGAACAATATTCATTCACAAGATAGTCTGTTATGAATTTATAATATCGAATGAGTTACTGAAACACCAAAAACTAATCACACAACAGCCGACAAATGACAATTATTACAACGATTATTGCTAGTCTACTACGGACTTCGCAGTGCCGCCATGTCCATCTTTAAATGATTATTCATATTTTTTATTTTGTTATTTCCCGTACAATAACTTATTGGTTTATAATTAGTAGTAGTCAATTTATGACTATGTTGTTGGTGTGGGTGTTTTATTGTGTTATGAAGATTGTTCTATTTTTTGTTAAACCGAGTTGAATAAGATGTTTTGTTCATCCTCTTGAATCATCGATTTGGCTGCGGTTCCACATATGTCCTTAGAATGTGATGTTTTTTCCACAGAAGAAATGAGCGAAAAATCACTTTTCTAACTAGTTAGGTACTCTTGAATTTTCCCCATTTCCGAAATTGATCAATAAATGTTCCACCAGTGGTATATTTCCTCATGAAATAATACATGCTTGAATGAGATATACTTCGTTTTGGAGATACAGGGTGTTGAAATTGTTTTTTTTTCAAGTTTTTCGAAATTACTTTCGCTAATGATAGATAACTTCAAGCTAAACTTGGTACCCGGTTTTTTTTCAAGTGGAAATTTTTTTATATTCTTTGGGTGGAAGCACTTCGACAAAAAAAGCTCGCTTGTGTAATTGAAAATGTATAAAAAATCCCATAAGCCGCTATTATTTTGTCATCATGACAGCGAAAAAAGTTTGCCCCTACTTCTCCAGCAACAAAACGGAACCTAACATTTGAAAGCATGACAGCCAATATCGTAAACAAATCTTTGATGGCATTCAAGTAAATTTTTCTCAAACTTGAGCTGTCAGAAATGTCGCGATTTGAAGTCTTTACTTCACATTCATAATACAAGTTCATAGTTTTGTTGTCTTTGAGAAATCACATTCTACTTCACAAGTTTATAGTTTGTTGTCTTTAGGAAATTCAACTGAAGAAACGACAATTTTTTTATTTAATCTCCAGGCAACAACATTCTCATCGAAATGTTAAGTTTACTTCTACAAAAAAAAGTTCTTGTGAAACAAACAGATTTCCGATAATCTAGTTGTCGTTGGCGTTGTCTATACCTAGTTAATTTTCAACAAAAATTGAAGAAAAAAAAATCATACGATTCACTTACTTTGGCAGCCGTTATCTCCTGTCCAGACAAAGAAATCGTGATGAGCGTAGCGAAAAGAGCCAGCCTGGTGGTGAACATCCCCATCGCCATGAAGAAAGCCCTCGCATACGATCCTTTCTTGATGATCTTCGTTTCGGCCCTTCTGGCCAGCCCGACCAGCTTGTTGAAGGGTATCTCCCACGCGTACATTTTGATCACTTGGATGCCGCAAATGACTTCGTCCATCAGCCTAATTCGCTCGTCGGTTTTTAGGGCTGTTTGCTTCCTGAATTTGGCTGCCAGTTTCCCACCGTACGCTGGAATTTATAACGAAAACACTTTTAAGCTCGCGTTTTTCGAAGAAATTTCGTTATCCACCTTGTTTTAAAATATGTGTTTCCCCCCTCTGAAAAAAAAGGTACGCCCCTGTAATTGCATTTTTTTATACTGCTGAAGAATTTTAATAATTCGAACACTATTATGTTCTACGCGTTCTGAAAAAAAAAGGTACGCCCCTGGAATCGTAATTTTGATCGTCAATTAATGCCAGAAATGTTAGAAAGAAAATTCGGTACGCCTCTGTTATCACGATCTTGACTTTCTTCTTGATGATTTTCGTTAAGGCCCTTCTGGCTAGAACGACCAGTATTACGATCACTCGGATGCCGCCAATTTCTTCGTCCATCAGCCTGATTCGGTCGTCGATTTTTAGAATTGTTTGCCTAATGAATTTGGCCGACAGTTTTTCAATGTAATAAAACATTTTTAAGCTCGCGTTTTTTGAATAAATTTCGATATCCACCTTGTTTTGATGTTTTGATATGTGTTTCCCCCCTCTGAAAAAGAATAAGGTACGCCTTTGAAATCGCAATCTTGATCGTCAATTAATGTCAGAACTGTCAGAGAAAAAAATCGGTACGCCTTTAGTTCGCAATCTTGACTTTATTCTGGATGATTTTTGTTTTGGCCCTTCTGGCCAACCCGACGGACGATTTTACTAAATATACTGTACGCTAGCACAAACCACGCCCACCATAATATCTCATCTTCGAAGTACTTATAGGCAAAACTCAGAGACTATTTATCCTTAACGAACTAACCTATCCCTGATTGCAATATTTTTAAGGAAGGAAAACCGAATGGAGTGTAGAAACACATTGATTAATAATATATTTCAAAAGTTGAGTTCTTCAACAAAATTGAATAAAATGAGACTGTTTATCCTAAACGCACTAACCTATTTGACTTCAAATATTTTATGAAAAAGGAAAACCAGAATGAAGTAAAAAAACATTGGTGAAAAAAAAAGTTGCAAAAGAAAGTTCAAGTTCACAGCGATTCGAACCATGGACCTTCAGACTGAAAGTCGACAACGCTAACCAGTAGACCATTTGGTTATATGAATTTACTGCGTACAAGAGATTGACAACGAGAGAGCTTCAGTCGAATTCGTGTCAAAATCATAAAAAGTGTATTCTTGCGTTGGAGCACAGTATATTTAGTGCGATGTGCTGACTCCGAGTATATCGGTAATGTTTGGAGATATGACGTATTATGGTGGGCGTGGTTTGTGCTAGCGTGCAGTATATTTAGTAAAATCGCAACCCGACCAGCTTGTTGAAGGATATCTCCCAAGCGTAAATTTTGATTACTTGGATGCCGCAAATGACATCGTCCATCAGGCTGATTCGCTCGTCGGTTTTTCGCGTTTTTCGAAGAAATTTCGATATTTCGACTTCATTTTTATTTGCCCGCCCCGACGCAATTTTTTTGTCGTGTTTAAGTAATTCGGACACATCATTTTCGACACATTCAGAAAAAAGTGTGTAGGCTGGTCAGAAAAAAATCGGCACGCCTCTGCGATTTTGCAATCTTGTTTTTTTTTTCTTGAGATAGTGTTGATGAACTTCTAAATTCTAATCTAAAATTGTTGACCTTTTCATAAAAAATGGTACACAAATAATCTCATCACTAGTAAGTTTATTTGTGCATTGCTACGACCCCTCTGAAAAATGTTATGTTCCTCACCTTGCAACGGACTCATGACTATGATGACGGCTATTCCAGCTATCCCGGGCAGCCCTGCGTTTAGATATAGATAGTACATGACGATGGCTGCAGAAATCGGTCCTATCCAGAGTTGGTGGATCATCATCGAGGCCATATCGAATCTGTTGACGTCATTGGACAGGAGATTCACGACTTTGCCTGGTGGGGAATCGCCTAGAGCGGTTTTGCTCAATTTCACCGACTGAAAGATGAGACAACAATGCAAAAATAATTCGACAATCCATGAAAACTCTTTGATAGATACAGTGAGTTATTGAAAGTTGTATTAGAGCAACTATTTCAACTGGCGCAGTCGGTAGGATCGCTAATTTTCATGTTTTTATAGTGTCATGAACTGTTTTTCCCATATGAGGGTCCTACCCAGAGTTGGTGTATCATCATCGAGGTTATATCGAATCTTGACGTCATTGGACAGGAGATTCACGACTTTGCCTGGTGGGGAATCGCCTAGAGCGGTTTTGCTCAATTTCACCGACTGAAAGATAAGGCAACAATGCAAAAAGAATTCGACAATCCATGGAAACTGTTTGATAGATACAGTGAATTATTGATAGTTGTATTAGAGCAACTATTTCAACTGGCGCAGTCGGTAGGATCGCTAGTTTTCATTTTTTTATAGTGTCATGAACTGTTTTTCCTAGATGAGGGTCCTATCCAAAGTTGGTGGATCATTATCGAGGCCATATCGAATCTGTTGACGTCATTGGACAGGAGATTCACGACTTTGCCTGGTGGGGAATCGCCTAGAGCGGTTTTGCTCAATTTTACCGACTGAAAGATAAGACAACAATGCAAAAAGAATTCGACAATCCATGGAAACTGTTTGATAGATACAGTGAGTTATTGAAAGTTGTATTAGAGCAACTATTTCAACTGGCGCAGTCGGTAGGATCGCTAATTTTCATGGTATTATAGTGTCATCAACTGTTTTTCCCATATGAGGGTCCTACCCAGAGTTGGTGTATCATCATCGAGGGCTATATCGAATCTGTTGACGCCATTGGACAAGGGATTCACGACTTTGCCTGGTGGGGAATCGCCTAGAGCGGTTTTGCTCAATTTCACCGACTGAAAGATAAGACAACAATGCAAAAACAATTCGACAATTCATGGAAACTGTTTGATAGATACAGTGAATTATTGATAGTTGTATTAGAGCAACTATTTCAACTGGCGCAGTCGGTAGGATCGCCAATTTCCATGGTATTATAGTGTCATCAACTGTTTTTCCCATATGAGGGTCCTACCCAGAGTTGGTGTATCATCATCGAGGGCCATATCGAATCTGTTGACGTCATTGGACAGGAGATTCACGACTTTACCTGGTGGGGAATCGCCTAGAGCAGTTTTGCTCAATTTCACCGACTGAAAGATAAGACAACAATGCAAAAATTATTCGACAATCCATGGAAACTGTTTGATATACAATGAATTATTGATAGTTGTATTAGAGCAACTATTTAGACTGGCGCAGTCGGTAGGATCGCTAATTTTCATGTTTTCATAGTGTCATGAACTGTTTTTCCCAGATGAGGGTCCTACCCAGAGTTGGTGTATCATATCATCAAGGGCCATATCGAATCTGTTGACGTCATTGGACAGGAGATTCACGACTATGCCTGGTTGGGAATCGCCTAAAGCGGTATTGCTCAACTTCACCGACTGAAAGATAAGACAACAATGCAAAAAGAATTCGACAATCCATAGAAACAGGATACAGTGAATTATTGATAGTTGTATTAGAGCAACTATTTTAACTGGCGCAGTCGGTAGGATCGCTAATTTTCATGGTTTTATAGTGTCATCAGCTGTTTTTCCCATATGAGGGTCCTAGACCAGAGTTGGTATATCATCATCGAGGGCCATATCGAATCTGTTGACGTCATTGGACAAGAGATTCACGACTTTGCCTGGCGGGGAATCGCCTAGAGCGGTTTTGCTCAATTTTACCGACTGAAAGATAAGACAACAGTGCAAAAGAATTCGACAATCCATGGAAACTGTTTGATAGATACAGTGAATTATTGATAGTTGTATTAGAGCAACTATTTTAACTGGCGCAGTCGATAGGATCGCTAATTTTCATGTTTTATAGTGTCATGAACTGTTTATCCCAGATGAGGGTCCTATCCAAAGTTGGTGAATCATCATCGAGGCCATATCGAATCTGTTGACGTCATTGGACAGGAGATTCACGACTTTGCCTGGTGGGGAATCGCCTAGAGCGGTTTTGCTCAATTTCACCGACTGAAAGATAAGACAACAATGCAAAAACAATTCGACAATTCATGGAAACTGTTTGATAGATACAGTGAATTATTGATAGTTGTATAAGAGCAACTATTTCAACTGGCGCAGTCGGTAGGATCGCTAATTTTCATGGTATTATAGTGTCATCAACTGTTTTTCCCATATGAGGGTCCTACCCAGAGTTGGTGTATCATCATCGAGGGCCATATCGAATCTGTTGACGTCATTGGACAGGAGATTCACGACTTTGCCTGGTGGGGAATCGCCTAGAGCGGTTTTGCTCAATTTCACCGACTGAAAGATAAGACAACAATGCGAAAAGAATTCTACAATCCATGGAAACTGTTTGATAGATACAGTGAGTTATTGAAAGTTGTATTAGAGCAACTATTTTAACTGGCGCAGTCGTTAGGATCGCTAATTTTCATGGTTTTATAATGACATGAACTGTTTTTCCTAGATGAGGGTCCTATCCAAAGTTGGTCGATCATCATCGAGGCCATATGGAATCTGTTGACGTCATTGGACAGGAGATTCACGACTTTGTCTGGTGGGGAATCGCCTAGAGCAGTTTTGCTCAATTTCACCGACTGGAAGATGAGACAACAATGCAAAAAGAATTCGACAATCCATGGAAACTGTTTGATAGATACAGTGAATTATTGATAGTTGTATTAGAGCAACTATTTCAACTGGCGCAGTCGGTAGGATCGCTAATTTTTATGGTATTATAGTGTCATCAACTGTTTTTCCCATATGAGGGTCCTACCCAGAGTTGGTGTATCATCATCGAGGGCCATATCGAATCTGTTGACGTCATTGGACAAGAGATTCACGACTTTGCCTGGCGGGGAATCGCCTAGAGCGGTTTTGCTCAACTTCACCGACTAAAAAATAAGACAACAATGCAAAAAGAATTCGACAATCCATAGAAACAGGATACAGTGAATTATTGATAGTTGTATTAGAGCAACTATTTTAACTGGCGCAGTCGGTAGGATCGCTAATTTTCATGTTTTATAGTGTCATGAACTGTTTTTCCCAGATGAGGGTCCTACCCAGAGTTGGTGTATCATCATCGAGGGCCATATCGAATCTGTTGACGTCATTGGACAGGAGATTCACGACTTTGCCTGGTGGGGAATCGCCTAGAGCGGTTTTGCTCAATTTCACCGACTGAAAGATAGGAAAACAATGCAAAAAGAATTCGACAATCCATGGAAACTGTTTGATAAATACAGTGAATTATGGATGGTTGTATTAGAGCAACTATTTTAATTGGCGCAGTCGGTAGGATAGCTAATTTCCATGTTTTTATAGTATCTGGTACTGTTTTTTCTAGGTGAGGGTCCTACCTAGAGTTGGTGTATTATCATCGAGGCCATATCAGACTCACGACTTTGCCGGGTGGGAAATAGCTTAGAGCGGTTTTGCTCAATTTCACCGACTGAAAGATAAGACAACAATGGAAGTAGGATTGTACTGATATTCCACAATCCACTTGAACTTTTTGATAGAATTAGTGAATTGACGATTATATTAGGGAATTATTCTAACTGGCGCAGTCGATAGGATCGCTAGTTTTCATTTTTTCATAGTTTCATGAAGGCTTTTTCGCAGAAAGAGGTTCTATGCAGAGTTGGTGGCTCATTATCGAGCCCAAATCGAATCTGTAAACGTCGTTTGATAGGAGATTCACGACTTTGTCGGGTGGAGAATCGACTAGAGCGGTTTTGCTCAATTCCACCGACTGAAAGATAAAACAATAACGAACATAGGATTGTAATGATATTCGACATCCCACGGGAACTGTTTCATAGATACAGTCAATTGACGTTTAAAATAGGACAACTGCTCTACCTGGCGCAGTCGGTAGGAAGCGACAAATAATCATTATCCTAGTTCTTTTCGTCAACTTTGGTAGTTTCGAGGATATGTATACTCACTTTCCTGTACATCAAGGCACAAACGGCAGTCCTGACCCTCATCCCAGCGTGCATACAATTGATAAAGTACTGCGACATGATGACAGTGACCGTGATGTTGCATAGCACGATACCGCCAGCGTAGTACAGGGCATCTGTTTTGGTGGTATCGCTCTCTGGATTGTAATAGTTGAGCAGCATGCCCAGCAATAAGGGCTGCGTGGTGCGAACGAACAGATCGCCAAAGCCGACGAGTACCCCCATAAAGAGGTACTCCGTCCAAAAGGTGCGGATTACAGCTAGCAGGAGGGCTCTGGAGGTTTTCGGATCGTAGTTCGGTTTGGAGATTTCTTTCTCCCAGTTGCTGGAAATCGAATGTTATGACAATTTGAGTTGATCTTGGAATACTGTGAGTGACATTGTTTAATTTGATTGGGCACCAAGGCAGTAAGAAGCCGACCTTTAGTGTCAGTTTTCGAAATAGCTGTAGAGGGTAACAACAATGGTGTTGCCTAGCAATCAGCTTTCGGTTGGTAGGTCGATTTAGAGATTTCTCCCATTGGCTGGAAATCAAATTCTAATGTCAGCTTGGGTTAAGGTGGGAATACTATGAGTGACATTGTTCAATTTGATATAGCATCTAGGCAGTAAATGCCCAAGCTCTCGTGTCAATTTTTGAAACTGCTGCAGAGGATAACAATAGCGGTGTAACCTAGCAAAGAGTTTTCGGTTAGTAGTTGTTTGGAAAATTCTTTCTTCTAGTTACTGGAAATTAATAATTGTTAATGACAGCCTGGCTTGATGTTAGAACACTGTGAGTGACTTTTTTAATTTGATATGGCACCAAGGCAGTAAGTGGCCGACATTTAGTGTCAATTTTTGAAACAGCTGTAGAGGGTAACAACAATCGTGTTGCCTAGCAATCAGCTTTCAGTGAGTAGTTCGGTTTGGAGATTTCTTTCTTCTAGTTACTGGAAATTGATATTTGTTAATGACAGCTTGGCTTGATGTTGGAATACTGTGAGTGACTTGTTTAATTTGATATGTTACCAAGGCAGTAAGTGGCCAAGCTTTAGTGTTAATTTTATAATCTGGTGTAGAGGTTAAAAATAAATCACTTCTGTCTTGAATTATAACCGTATTTTTATTTTATATACCTTACAACATATACTTTGTAAGGTTTTCTTCGTTTATTCAATACCAATAAGTATACTTTCAATTTATATGATGTCAACATTTTGATTAAACGTTATTATTATTATTATTATTATTATTATAATTATTATAGAGTTGCCTAGCAATAAGTTTTTAATTGGTAGTTTGATTTGGATAATTCAATGAGCCTAGCATTATCGAGATTAGTGGAAAATTATACAGGAAAAATATTCACCTACCGTTCTAGGGCATCTCCTAGTAATCGACTTCTGTCTTTGCGCAAAGGGTTATATAAATCATCTACCTCTAATGTCTTTCGCATCCCCTTCCGGAATATGGGGATAGTGTAACTGAAAAAAAAGAGAAGAATAATAACAGAAATGAGAAAATCATATTCCAGATGTCATAAAATTCAAGAAATCTAAATGTAACAAGTCAATCAGTTGTAAAACAAAACTAATGAGCAACAAACATAACTCATCGTCGGAGATTCTGATTCTACGGTCAGAATTGCAAAATTCAAGATATTGGAACCAATATGGCGGACTAGTTTTGTAATTATATTCCTATCCTATTCAAAATTGGTATATCTGGTGGTTTTCGGGGTCTATTGTTAGAATTAGAATTGTTAGAATTTGAGAATTCAATGTAAAAACTTCACGAACGATAAGATTTCCACAAAATTCTCAAACACACGACATGTTTCGCTAACACAGTAGCTTGACATGTCGTGTGTTTGAGAATTTTGTGGAAATCTTATCGTTTGTGAAGTTTTTACATTTATCAAGGATTTCCATCAAGTAACGGCCGAGTCAATTCAAAATTGAGAATTCAAGATGGCGGATGCAATATGACGAAAGAATTTTGTAATTATGATCCGATTTTATTCAAAATTTGTATCTGGGGGTTTTCGCGGTCGGAGATTATGATTCTTCCGTCAAAATGGGGAAATTCAAGATGGCGGAATCAATATGATGGACGAATTTTTTTGACGAAGGAATCATAATCCCCGACCCCAAAATCCCCCAGATACCAATTTCGAATAGAATCGGATCATAATTAGAAAACTCGCCATATTGGATACGCCATCTTGTATTTTCAAATTATGAGGAAAGAAGCATAATCTCCGACCCCAAAAACCACCAGATACCAATTTTGAATAGGATAGAAATATAATTACAAAACTCATCAGTCATATTGGATCCGCCATCTTGAATATCTTAATTTTTTCTTTCATAAGAACCTTCTCCTGACAATAACAAACACAACAAAAAAAGAGTTAGTGAAATCGGTCCAGACGTTCATGCGTGATGGCATCGCCAAGGGAAATAAGGATTAATTTTTATACTATACAGGGTGAATATGGAAGTGAGTTTTTTTTATTTAAGAGGGTATATATCCCGCTAAAATAAGTTGTTTGGCCAACAATTGTTCATATAAAAAATGTAAGAACCGGAGGTACAGGTATTTTAAGGTTTTGTATTTTATCAATCCGAGATTTATAAGAGAAAATATGATGAAAAAATCACTTTAAAACAGAAATTGATGGGTTGAGAATGTGAAAAGAGGTTTTTGATAAATTTTTCTGATGAAATAATGCAACTGTATGGTATCTAAAGCTGGACTTATAATGTTTTTTTTGCGTTTTTTTGAAAAAATGTAAACAAGATGTTTTATAGTTAGTCTTCTTTAAACCTTCAAATACCTGTACCTCCATTATCTTAAATATTTCATGTGAGCAATTTTTTGCCAAACAACTCATTTTGGTGAGATATATAATATCCTGTTGAAAAAAAAACTCACTTTCAGATTCACCCTGTATAGAGATGCTTGTAACGAAAATATAATTGGACCCGAATAGACAGGTCATGAAAAAATTATTGGACCGCAAAGGGTTACTTTTGGCTACTTTTTGGTGGTGAGTCAATTTCTTGATTAGACCAATGAATTCAGTGGAAAGATGACATCAAAAATCCAGACTGTTTCCTTGTGAATAAATGAATTACTATTTAACCTTTCATATAATTTATCTACGACAAAATATTATCAAATACACTTGCATGTATCGATAACAAACTAATCATGATTACAAACAATTATGACTACCGTAGAATGAGGATACTTGGAACTGCGGGGTAAATTGGAATAAAAACTTCATATTTTCAAATTACCCCCTGAAATCTACAGCTGATTGCATTTTCAACTACGAAATAGCCACAATGGTCATAGTGGAATGAAATGTTGAATAAATACATAAAGTCATTCCCACACAATGTTTATAAAATGAACAACGATGGTAGGTTTCGGGAGAAAAATAACAACTCTCCTGGCTAATGCAACGCAGAACATTGAATTACATCCTCCCGAAATCTATGCATCGACTCGTATAAACGAATACTAATACAAGTGATTCTTTCCTGAATGACTATTGATTTCGATTTAGCCAGGCCACGCTGGACACCTACAGACCGGTTTCGAGCTCTTTGACTCTCATCAGTGCAGGGCAGTCTCCAGCCCGCAGTCCTAAATAACTATTTCGCCATATTGGATTCAGAATGACGTCACATTATTTTTCGAGTTACTCTCAACGAGCCGTTTCATTTGATATCCATATTGTGAAAGTAGATTATAAATAACTATTTCGCCATCTTGGATGGTCTGCCATATTGGATTTAGAATGACGTCACATTATTTTCCGAGTTGCTCTCAACGAGCCCTTTCATTTGATACCCATATTGTAGAAGTGCATTAAAAATAACTTTTCCGCCATCTTGGATGGTCCGCCATATTCAATTCAGAATGACATCACATCATTTTTCGAGTAACTCTCCACGAGCCCTTTCATTTGATACCCATATTGTAGAAGTGCGTTAAAAATAACTATTTCGCCATCTTGGATGGTCCGCCACATTGGATTCAGAATGACGTCACATTATTTCTCGAGTTACTCTCAACGAGCCGTTCCATTTGATACCCATATTGTAAAAGTACATTAAAAATAACTATTCCGCCATCTTGTATGGTCCGCCATATTGAATTCAGAATGACGTCACATTTTTTTTTCGAGCTACTCCCAACGAGCCCTTTCATTTGATACCCATAAGTGCATTAAAAATAACTATTCCGCCATCTTGGATGGTCCGCCATATTGGACTTATCGTGCATTGTCATCCAAATTAAACGTGTATGCAAAATTTTAGCTCAATCGGTTGAATATATCTACTTCAAAATTGATTTCAAAGATTCCACCCGAACTAACATACATACATCCATACATTGCAAATTAAATAAAAGCTTTTAATTAGGTTATAAAATAAGGATGCTTACCTGAAAAATAGTACTGACAGGAAATTAGCTTTATCCCTAGGATTGGGATTATCTACATGTTTAGTCACATCCATTTTGAATTTGGTTGATGCAGACCAAGTACCGAGTCAATGTATCGAATGATCACAATCTAATATCTGTGATCATTCTCTTTTGACCACGTTGACACTGAAATAAAAAAATGTGGGATTTCCTTGGACAAATATTATTTGAGGTCTAGTACAGTGAATAGCGGTACCGGAAGATTATTATATTCGACATAGTTGAGTAGGTACCTACCATCTGTATACAGGGTGAGAATTGTACTGCGTTGAGAGGTAATATCTCGGGGGAAAGTACAAGGTGACTAGTATTCTAACTACCACAACAATATCAGTTATTTTTTAATAGCAACATTTTTTTATTGGTGAAAACATGCAAATAGTTTTTCAAGTACACTATAAACTTTCCCAAAATATATTTTGACCTTTGCAAATGTTTTTCGTTGACATCTACTTTCATTACATTTATTATCAAAATTGGTGGGACTTGATTCAGTTGAAACATATCTACACTGGGTGTTACTTTCTTTCAGACCATTTACTGTTTTGAAGGCGTTTGCATTCATTGTAATAATTGTAATTGTTTGTTGAAAATGATTTTTTCGTGTGTTATTGCATGTTTCATATGTGAATAACAAATTGTAATTGTCAATCGTGATTGTTTATATCTTACTCAATAGCTATCTCAATTAATATTGGTCTCACAGAAACATGGACAAAAATGAATTACTTTTTATGGTCATTCAGAATCGAGTAATAGAAAATACAAAAAAGCATCGCAAAACAAAAATAAATTACATAAACTGGTATATCGATAGATCTCATTTGAAGTGAAGTGAAGTTAAAAAATAAAAATCGAATTTTTCAGAATTTTTGAAAATTTTCAAAAGTAGCACTTCAAAAATTGGTATCCGGGAACATTTTATCACTGTGTCCATTAAAGGGCGTTTACCAATGCACTTATGGTTCAGAATGGCCATAACTTTTTTCTCAGTGTAGTTTTTTTCACTTTTTTCGTTGAGGAAATCTTTTTCCGAACATTTTCAAAAAAAAACGTACTCCTGTGAAAATCCGCTAAAATCAGCCGATTTCGAGATATTTATTATTTTGAATAAAACATGTTTGCTGTTATCTTCGTGAATGTTATTTGGTCAGTGAATCAGCAGTGCAGAACTGGATTTTTCATAATACTTTCTTGGGGTGTTATTGACGATTTTTATGTTTCAACCTCACCACCTTGCTGTAAATCGGCATATCTAACCCTGTATATACTGCATTGATGTGGTTATCTTTGTCAGTTTTCGAAAAATATTGATTCTAAGGCAGCTGTAGAACGCCAGATATTACAGCATTGTCGTCTGGCATTCAACACTTGCCTCAGATCTATACCAAGAAATCTATATTCTTCAAAAACTGTCGAAAGATAACCTCAATAAAGTATAAATATATGAAATCAGAAGAAAGAGCTCTACCATATAGAAAAATAAAATACCAGTTTATGTAGAATTTTGAGGTTTGCGATGCTTTTTTGCATTATCTAGTAATTTATTCTAAATGCTCACAAAAAATACTCCATTTTTGCCCGTTTGAACGTTTCTGTAAGACCAATATTAACTGAGATAGCTATTGAGTGAAATATACCTTTTCCTACGACCACCTATGAAAACAGCACAAAACACATTGATTTGTTATTGAGAAAGTGACTCGTTTCACTATGACAACATATAACAGTTAGAAAGTTCGAAAGTAAAACTCACATGGGTGGAAATATTCGAAAATCGCACAGTAACAGGGTCTATAGATTATGATGTACCAATGAATGATTATTATGCTGAATTATGGTAAGTTAAGTTATGGTCAAGTTAATGGAAAGTTAGTGTCGATTTAACATGAGTTATTGTCGTTAATGTTGACATTGTTGACGTAATGTTAAGTTGATGAAGAGTTGAAATCAAGTTAATTTCAATTGAAAGTTGAATTAATGTCAATGTATTGGCAATTTAGTGATTAATGTGAAGTTAATGTCAATATGATATTGAGTTGATGTTAATTTGATTTTAAGGTAATGTCAAGTTAATTTTGAGTTAATGTTGATTTAATGTTGAGTTAATGTTGAATAATAATTATTGAGTTAATGTTGTTGTTAAGTCAATGTTAGGTTAATTTTAAGTTAATGTTGAGTAAATTTCAAGTTAATGTTAAGAAACTGTTGAATTTATGTTAAGTTGATGTTAAGTTAATGTTGAGTCAATGTTTAGTTAATGTTAAACTAATGATGTCATTTAAATATTGAAGTAAAATTAAATAATAATGATATCCTCTTCATGTGATCGAATATGATTAGAAACATGATCCCTACTCTGGTCTTATAAACACTCATGACATGTAATATAAATATTTGTGGTCGTAGGAAAAATAGTGTACAAAACTCGTTGGAAAGTGCATTTCAATATGTCACTTCCCACACTATATGGTTATGTAATATACTATTAACACATCTTTCAGAAAAACAAACTCAGGATTAAACTTTACCATTTGCAGAATGGTCAGAACTTTTAATCTTCTTAATCTTGAGACTTTCATTTTTTAATTTTAAGAAACACGTGAAATCCTTGTTCTGCTTTTGTTGACCAGATAAAAATTCACACGCACTTTCGTCTACAGATAACGTTTCAATCGTATCGTTCATACATTGTATTTTGTATCAGTTATAATGTCTACTATATAAGTACGTTATTATTAGCTCACTATTTGATTACCTAATGAGAGGATACTCGTTGGATTTTGTCTGTTTGCATCCCTACTTTGTAATGAATGAATAAATAAATAATCAATCACCCTGTACTGGCCATTACATGGATTTTTCCAAATATCTTGAACAAGAGAAAAAATTTATTTACACAGGGTGGATTCCTTTATAAGCCTATGGCTTGTAACCCCTCATTGAAAAGCCGGTTGATAGAGGAATCCAGTGTACTAATCAAATTTTAGATTGTAGTACTTTCGAGGGTTGCAAAAAAACTAATCACAATTTCAAAGTTCAATAATTTTCCACTTATTTTCATCAAAATTTCGATTTCTTTAGCGATACAGTTGAATAAAACATTTTTAACTACGGCCACTATAGAAAGTAGGCAAGAACACATGCACGAGATACAGCCTCAGTAAGTAGCTCTTTACACACAGTAAGCACATCGCACAGTTTTCGTTTATTCCACCAGTCATGATCGCGTAATCGCCGTCAACAGCGAATGACATAACTGTCAAGAATTATAATTCAGACTGTTTGTCCAAACTTTTTTGATGTACCTCCTACTATATATCCAGTACACAGCTTCGCGGATGATAGTACCCTCCATCCCACATTCTGTTCCAGGGCTCCAATACCAGCCAGGCAAATCAGAAACGAACGAGGAAGAAATGTTGACATCATAAATATGGATTTGGCAACAATTCTCGAATGGGGATTCAATAACTTGGTAGATTTGAATGCAAACAAAACACAAGCATGCCTCTTCTCTAGAAAAGCCCATCTCACTGTGCCCAACATAAGCTTTTCAGGAGTAGCCATACCTCTGAAGACATCCATTTCGATGCTTGGTATTACTATCAGCAATAACCTTTCTTGGGAAAATCACGTGAGATCAATTATTGCTGAAAGTGCATCCCAAAAACTTTGTTTTCTGGTTCGGGCCAGGAGCTATTTCACTTCCAGTCAGCTGCTTATGATCTATAAGGCACAGATCCGACCTGTCCTGGAATACTGTTCCAATATTTGGAGTGCGGCACCCAAACATACCCTGAAACTGTTGGATTCTGTCCAAAAAAGGGCAATTCGTCTCGTGGGTGATGCCTCGCTCACAAAGTCATTCACTTCTCTGAAACACCGTAGAAAAGTTGGCGAACTGGCTCTATTTTATAGATATTTTCATGGAAGAAACTCTTTTGAAATATCAACAGTTGTTCCTCCCTTGGCAGTCCCCGCGAGATTAACCGGTCGAGTTGAGGCTTCGCACCACTTCGTGGTCACTTTGGAGACCTGCAGAACATCTCTTTCCAAAAACTCGTTCATCCAACGAACAGCGAAGCTCTGGAACACATTGCCAAGGGAGGTGTTCCCCGAGGAAGATAACCTCCAGAAATTTAAGAACACCAATTCCTACCTTATTTCCCTTGGTTCTCACGATGTTCTCTGAACATTACAGGATATCCCTTTTCGTGGGAACCAGAACATAAAAAAAATTCGTGCGTTATATGCTTCTTACAACACATATTACGTAATATACTATTACCAGTTTGCAACAACACTTTGTTTTTAATTGTAAATACGGCATACAAACTAAATGTCTGTTTGCGGCTGTTGATAAACAGTCATAAAATAGCAAATATCAGTTGTGGCAAATCACATTTTGGTATTATGCAACCCCTCAAATGTACTAAATGTCCAGTACGCTGGATTCCTCTCTACACCAACTTTCCAAATAGGGGTAAACAGGCCATATATAGGGTGGAATTTGAAAAAAACGTGTTGAGGTTGGTTTCAGTTACCTACTTGCAAAAAATAGCTAGCGAATTTATTCCAGTTAAATTCTTCACCCTGTACACAAAACAGTAGTTTTTGATTAATGAATTCAGCGGACAACTCACCCTGTATAATATGAACATAATTATAGAGAGAAACTTACCTGTCGTCAATGTCAAAATCACTGAAACAATTGAATGAAATTTTGAATATCAGCTACCTACTATTTTATAAGATCTTATTATTTGATTATTGCATTGGAATTTTAACTATCTTATCAATTAATTCTTAGACAAGTGTGCGAATATCTGTAATGTTAGTATAGTATCTCAATTTCGTCGTTGATTACACTGATTACTTGATGACATCGAATATGTCTCAAGGACCACACCGTACAATTTTTCTTCTTCTTCGGGACTCACCAAGTTGAGTCTACGAATATGAAAAATATTTTTGCTCTAATAGGTTTGCAGATGATGGTTCGAAAATATTTTCATAACCTAAATATAGGCACCTGAAAATTCGAATATACAGGGTGTTTCTCAAGTACGTGTAGAAAATTCAGAAGCATGTTGCTGTCGTCAAAATAATGAGAAAAAGTGCGTATGAATATATGTCCGAAAGTTATTCGTTTCTGAGATACGTCAAAGTTGAATTTTCATTTTTGTTTTTTGTTAATAAATTTCAGAATACCTGTGATATTCGAATAAAGTTTGGTATCTAGGGGTATTTTTCAATGACAACAACAAATTTTATGTTAGTTTTTCTCTTTCATGGGGGTGGGGCGCCACCTACATGTCTTTTGAGTCTTTTGAAAAGTCATCACTTTTTTGTGCGTACCTGTATCACGTTATAGTAGAAAAATAGATTTCTAGAACACTTCTGTGTAAAAAATATATTCCTGGTAGAGGTCGCTGCGAGCAACTGTTTTCGATATAAAGAAAAGAAACATCGATAAATCGAAACTAGCTGAACATATTATCCTTACTGAAGACGGACAACATATGGCAGAGTAGAATAATATTTAAATCATTGGAAAAGAAGATAACAACCAGAACAGAAAAATCAAGGAATCTGCTTGCATTCTTCTGAACGGAGACAATAGCATTGCTTCTTGTTCAGTTGATATAGACAGAACATGGTATTCAACTATTCACTACTAAAATCTGAACATGATAATGGTAAATTCGAGATTAATTAATGAAAACATCTACAGGATTTGATTGCCAACGTCACCAATTGTCATTGAAAACTGAAAAGCTTCAAGACATAATCTTAAAGACATATTATACGACTTCGCTATTGAAATAATCTCTTCTCATGTTGAAAACGGGAGCAGAATCGGTCCCGAAACGTCCAAAGAAAAGTGAAAATTTGATATTTTTGCTATATATACCTTTATTCCTCTTCTCCAAAATTTTTCAATACAAATTGTCACTGACAAGCTAGTGAATTTTTCTTTTAGGCTCTCTGATAGGAAAATTCTTTAAACGCAGTGACATTTTGGGGCAAATCATCTGATTTGTCCTTACTACACGTATATTGAAATAATATTCATATTTTTATTTTATAATAGAATCGAGGAGAGAAAATCCCAAAAATTTTGGAATGATGAACTGTTTTCGAGTTATAGGAATTCGAAATAATCGATGCATTTGAATTACTTATTTTCATGGGGCTCGTAAGATTTTGCGCCATTTTCTTGGAGTCCTAGTAGTCAACGGTCTGCCTATCACTCATGGACGTTTATACGTCCATGCTATCACTGGAGCTTTTTTAAAGGATCCAGACTCCATAAGACGCTGAAAAACTTCGGCTTCGGCTTCGCTAAACGCTCCGCCTCGCAAATGCAAAATTCGCTTGTTAAACAAAGTGTCACTTTTGGTCCTGATAAAACAATCTACTATTTTTTATTATACTGTGGACTTTCTCAGTTTTCGTTAGGTTTGCTGAGATTTTCATATTATAATCATCACATCGTTGTTTGTCGAAGTTTTGAGACATTTACGTAATCTCTTAGTTTTATGGGTTTCTTGGCTTTCCATTTTCTCCATGTGATTTGAAGAAGATTATACTACTCACAAGAAGTATTAAAGCCAATTCTTATAGAATTTGTTACATAAGAAGAGGTAGGTAAGTCCTATTTTGTTTATAATACATCACGTTTTGCTATTTTCGTTTTGTTTTGACAGTGAGGAAAATTTCAAATAAGTACTTTTGATGTCTGTTGAAAATACTATGCCAGAGACTACAAAACCCAAATACAAGGTGCACTTTCTGATATGAACTGAACTAGCAGAATTTTTCAGATACGGTTCTGGTTTTTTAAATTCTGGATACGTCATTTGATTGATAAGGAATAGCATAGTGAAAAAATGAGATAAGTTGAAGTACTTAGCACATTTACTGAATGATAAATGCTCATTTGATACTTCTTTTTTAGGAATCCCGCTTATACAGTGTGTCCCGCTTTTCATGAATACATCCTGATATCTCAGTTATTAATGATGCTATGCTCTTGAAATTTTAGTGGTGATTGTATTTTAGAACAATGAAGTATGTAGCAGAGTGAACAGTTTCATTCACCATTGGCGTGCAATGTTGAAGGGTACAAAAAAGGCCATTATTCGGAAAAAGGATATTTGGGCTTATTTTGAATAACTGTTTTTATCAGATTCAGAATCAGCATCCCCAAAAACCCCACAATTCATTTTTTCAAAATCTCAAGAAAAATTCAAAATCCCGCTTCTCATGATTTTCTCAAAACTGTGATGGTAATTGTATGTCAATTTTTTAACATACAATCACCATCAAAATTTCAAGAAAATCGCATCGTTGATACCTGAAATTTAAGGGTGTTGTCATGAAAAGCGGGATTTTGATATATTTTATTCAAGCATTTGGGATCTTGAAAATATTGGGATTGGAATCGGGGGTTTTTGGAGATGCTGATTATGAATCTAATAAAAAAAGATATTTAAAATGAGTCCTAATATCCTTTACCAAATAAAGGCATTTTTTGTACCCCTCAACATCGCACGCCAATGGTGAATGAAACTGTTCATTCTACTAAATACTTCCTTATTCTAACATTATTCATGAAAAGCGGGACACTCTGTATATTATCCACACTGAATGAAGAATACAAAATTGGCGTATAGAGTGAATGAATTGATATACAGGGTGTTATTTGAGTATGTGGCCAAACTTCATATGGGTTGATTCTTCAAGTGATTTGAAGTGAAAAACTTATAATGGGCTTATATCACAAAAAAATTTTATTTCATAATTCGATAGAACTCACCTAAACTAGCTCTCTTGCTGTGAGCTCCCTACGTTTTATAAAAAATTATTGAAAACCACGATTTTTCGGACCTCTGAAAACGAGGCGATGATGTGACGTCAAAACCCTAAAACTGGAACAAGACTATTCCAGACAGAGATGAATGATACATGATTTCTGACAGAGTGAATTAGCGCGAGATCACAGTTGAAAGAATTGATATATCAGTTGCCTCAGTCTCCGTCGGGCGTTTGGTATTTTCTTCTAACTATGGCGAGATGAGGTTTCTACGTCATAAGAGGGTCCGTTTTCAGAGGGTACTATTATTTATGTCCAAAAATAAAACATTCCAGTTAATTTTTCGATCCAATTATGTCGTCAATTATTATTTATGTACAAAAGGATCATTATAAACATGGTTTGAGTTGAAAGTTCTACTAAGGTGTACACGCCCATTCCATCACTACACCATGCAGATGAACTCGTCAGGCTCACCCAGCACATCCCTTCGTTGTCAACCTTGAAAAAACTCTACCAAACCAAAACTCGTTCGTCAATAGAACGGCGAAGCTTTGGATTTATTTGCCAATAGAGGTATTCCCAAGAACTTGAAACCTCCAAAAGTAAAAAAATCCAAAATCCAAAAACGTTATAGCAATTTCCTTTCGTGTGCTCAAGAGATGAAAAATATACAGGGTGTATCTAAATAACATCGAAAAAATTCAAGAGGTGATTCCTTGTGATATTCTAGCAAATAAAGTTCATATGAACATGAGTTCTAACTTGCTCCGTTTTTGAGATACAGGATGTTGAAAAGTTGGAAGGATAAATTGTTTTTATTTATAACCACTCTGTATAAGCTTACATGGTTCCAAAATTCAGTATGGTTGGAGACTGACTAAGCCACAAATTTTCGAAATGATTCTAATTGGGGTTATTGAGTAATCTCAATGGAAGTCTTGAAAACACCTACATTAAAATTTGGAGTCAAATCGAATTTTTATTGTTTCCTCAAAAATTAAGCTAGATACAAAAATCGCACAGAGGATAAAAAAGTTCGATAGTTCAATCTAGTACAAATATGAAACTCAGAAAAACTATTAACAAAACCACAATGTTTTATTGAAATTCATGAAAAGACAATAGTTCAATGGATTAAAAAACGATTTTTCATGGAAATATTAATACCCTGTATCTCGAAAACGAAGCAAGTTAGGACACATGTTCATATGAACTTCATTACCTGAAATATCACAAGGCATAAACCCTTGAATTTTTTCGGTGTTATTTAGATACACTCTGTATATACAGAGGTGTGCACAAAAAACGGCTAGAGCTGTAACTTCTGAATCATTCGAGATCGAAATTTGAAATTTGGTGGGTAGCAACTATACCATATTGTTCATTTATTGACGAAATAAAAATTATTCCATCACTTCCGGTCTAACCGGAAGTGACCCCAACTTTTGATTTTCATATGGAACCCCCTGTATATTTTCCCATTATTGGATTCAGGGTATCATTTTACATACACCAGTAGTTTTTCCGTATCAAAATGTCAAGAGGAATTTTTTTAATTCGTTTTTATCTTTAAACATTGCCCCTCGCATTGCCCATTAATTGGTAATAGTAATCAAGATCTAGGTAGCCTTGTAAGTCAATTTCAATGTGACAGTAACATCCAATAATAAGTTTCAATACGGGTGATGATATTTTCTATTTTATAAACATGAATAATAATGAGTTAACAACCGATATGTTACAAGTTTATTTTGAATGTTTGAAAAATTCGTACGATGCTGCTCGTGTTTATAGAAACAGATATCCGAATAGAAATCATCCTAGCCATCAGAAATTTGGCAGATTGGAAGCTAATCTACGTCAATTTGGTAGTTTCAAAAAAACAAAGAAACAACAGCGAGAGTTTGATGCAGATTCGGAATTGAATGTTTTACTCAGTGTACAAGAAACGCACAGGAT